CTGTGTGTGTTGTCTTCGTGTGGTCTGGGACTGTTTTTAATGTTGGTTTTTTCTGCCTTTGTCCAAGCTTGCCTTGTGTTGAAAAATCGGCAGGCATTTATGTACTCATGCAATTTGTACCGTTTATTTATTTATTTTAAGCGATTTCCTTCCCTTTTCGCTGGTTTGTTTTGTTGTAACATGCTGATCCGCCCCTATCGAACAACTGTCAAAAAGATCTTCATAGCTCATCGGATTGTTGCACTCTAATAATAACGATTATCATAAGAGTCTAGAAACAGGAGGGCTGGACGTGCTTTAGCAAACGATGGGTCACAACAAACGAGTGTTTAAAAAAAAACTGCAACGTTAAAACAATGCATTTGTACAGGCACAGCTTGGGTTCTCAATCTACTGCTGGATGAGGGCCTCACCACGCTTAGTGGGACCCGCAAGGGATATTTGAGCAAACTTCACCAGTCTGGTCAGCGCAGGCTGGTGAAGGTTGCTGGGAAATTCTACATAAGTTCTACAGCGCATTCGGGTGCTGGTGCAAACAAAGAGTTGGGGGAGATATTGCCTTGCATTGCAAAATAATTCAGATTCAGGTTTTCGCTCAATGAACGTCCTCGCTTAAGCAAGTAATGTCTGAGGCAGTCGCCGTCTGCTCTTGCAAGTGCTACAGGAGTTCTTTCAGAGAGGAAAAAAAACACATTTACGAGTAGGTAAATCGGAGCATGTTGATGGGGAGCGAGCGGCCGATGCCGCCTCTTACGAGTAGGCAAACTGTCGCCAGAACACATTTCATGACGAGTTTGGGTGGGGGAAAAAAAAGAAATTGACAGCGTCAACAAGTGGATAGGAAATAAAAGACCACCTGACCCAGAAATTAAGGTCAGTCTCTTGCAAATGCTTTCCCTCTGATGTGGAAAGGTGTAAAATGACATCACTGCAGGAGACCTCTCCAATCCTTCATACATACCATACACGTTGGTTCTGCCATTTCATACAGACGTAACATTTTTGATCCATACGTGGGGTACATTTAATAATCATGATAATCATGACATTTCGTTGTCCACAGAAGCCTCGCCGTGTCTCAAAATAACGATGCGCATCATTGTAAAGAATATAAGTCACAAAATAAGCGCGCAATATAATAAGCAGACCGAGAATTCAAGATCGTTTCGTGAGAGTCCAGCTTCTGGGATGTGCGGCCACTTACAAGGTTTTGCAACATGAGTTCACAGGAATAAATCAGGACAGGTGATAATGCTCAAAAAGTCTGCACACATAGGTTAACATAACACAGTTATTGTGACTGTCTCTCCTAACCAGCTCACAGCCCACGGGGGGGGGGGGGGGGGGGGGGGGGGGGTGGGGGGGGGGGGGGGTGGTTTGAGTCTTGCAATCTGTACACGATTGCAAGACTCAAACCTGCACCTCCACAGTGCCGGATCACACGAGAGCGGCACCATAACAACAACAACAACAACGCCCGACACTGTACTCTCCGCGTCGGTTTTCGTAGTGGCGTCCGCGTACGGCTCCGCAACGCGCGTTAATAGGGTCGCCGCCGTGCGTTCTCCGGCACGCGCGCTGAAGAACGCACGGCACAGCCTCTCAGAACGCGAGTCGGCGGATAGCACACAGAGTTTGGACAAATGTTCTTGGGGTTTTATGGGTGTAGGTGCCACCCCCCCCCCCCGCCCCCCACGCCGCATCGCTCGTAATGGACTTACAAATGAATACATTTAAAATGGAAATACGTTTAGCAATAACCTCACAAAAACATCACTCATAAATGTTGTCTATTGTTGTGATATTTACCAATGCTGCAAGCATGACAAACAAAAGCTGTAAATAATTATATATTGTTACAGAACGAAAGCTTCATAAAACAAAAGTAGATGAATAAACACCAATTACTTTAGTATTTGAACAAGGACATGCAATCGTGACATATCCTTTAGGTATAAGTATATATATACATTTAAAATCAATGTATCTTGCTCTCTACTCACAAAAAGCATTTCGCTTTGGGGATCGGATTTCAAAAGCAGCTTTTGAGATGAACATCATACAGCGTATTAACCAAAAGTCTTTTGTCAGTGAAGAATACAAATTAATTCATATTTTAAATGGTGTAATTTATCCCACATTTCAATGGTGTTATTTGTGTTGGTGTTATTAAAGCGTGCTCGGCGGGCCCATTTGTAAGAAAGCCTCAAGGTAACTCGCACAATACAAGGCTCTGCGCACAGCTGATAACCTCCGTCACATTGTTGCTCTCAGCCTGCTCATACCCGAGCATTCTCTTATCTCCATGCGCACCGCCGCCCGGCACAACAAAAGCCGTACGAATCCCTGCCACGGAACAAGAGCCGACAAGACAATGCTCCAGATAGTGCCCCCCCCCACCACCACCACCCTCTTTCCCTCGTACCCTCAAAATCCACCCATCCACCGTACCACCACCGCTTCGTGTAACACGCCCCGCCGCTACCACTGCTGCCTCCACCCCGCCAACCACCCCCCCCCCCCCACCGCCGCCCACACAACCTCCCGGCCCCAGGCCCGGCCGGTGATGCGTTGAGGCTTGAAAGAACATCTGTGTGAGTAGCAGCGAGCTGAAAGCACCCGTTAATTCCGAGCAAAACCAGCGCTGCGCTAATTGAAATTTTCACGCTCGACTGGAGAAAAAGAAGCCGCAGAGAGCCGCTGTGAGAAGAAAAAAGCTGCCGCTGGCCGAGGCGGGAGCGAGCCCAATCTCAGAAATCACGGGGAAACGAGTTCCAGAAAGTGCCCAAAAAAATAGAAAGAGCTTTAATCGATGTAATTTTAGCCCCTAATTTGCACTCCTACCCTCATAGAAAGTCCTCCACAATGACTCACTCGCAGAGCTTCTCCGACCTGAGCAGCATTCTCACAACAAGAGATTTGCCTTTAAAAGAATAAAAAACGAAATAGCCTCGCCCACCCTCCCCCCAGAATGTAATTGAAAAAAAAAAGTGTTTTTTTGAGTAATTTTCCAAGAAGTGGCATGATACCGCTGTGCAATTAACATCTTCGATGTTTGATAAAATGAAGCGCCTACTTGATTATTTATTTGATATTGCAGATTATGCTGCAACATGCTGTTCGAAAGCATGATCGATTCACGAAATATAACTATATAAAAAATGATTTGTTTTTTTGTCCACATAAAACAGTCAGGTAAACATGTTTAAATACTAGTTGTAGCATTCTAGTTAATCCTACCACTGCTCTCTAATATTAATTTCTTAATATAGAATATATGTGATACTAAAAAAAACCAAATGTATATACAATACCCATATTTTTTACCATTAGCCATACATATATAAAAATCCATACAATTACATATAAACCATGAAGTCATTAGGATGCAAACACCTGCTCGAGATAAATGTTCAAAACCGTTGTACACGAGTGAAACAAATACGGAATGAATGAGACGTCCCTTAACCTCACACTCGCTAAAATCTCAAGTGCCGCCACGCGGAGCGTCTTGCGCTTGCATTCAAAACAGGGCCTTGATTTTCGAAGGCTTAAACAACCAACAAAAAGTAACGCCTTTAATTGCCACCGTAAAGGGAATTTGTCGTGCAAGAGCATTACGCCCTTTGACAAGATACGGCATGGCAATGATCCCCCTGTGAGTAAGCATGAGAAAGGTCACACTACCTTAAACGAACTGGCTCGCAATTAAACTCTTAATTACAAGTGCACTTCTACGTTCGAGCTCACAATTCTCCCGGTCTCACTGCGGCCAACTCCCCCCGCGAGGGTTAATTATGACGAATCCTGCACGTTACACTCTTGCCCATAGGTCAGCAGCACTCTATAAAAGACACCCCCCCCCGCCCGCCACCATCCCCACACAGGCTAAGGTTCTGGAAGGACCGTGGTACTGGCTGCTTGAGGCAATGAATGAAGTGAGGGTGGATCAACACCTGGCTTTGGATCAAATGTTTGTGAAATATCGGAATAAACTAAAGCCATCATAAATTAACACTGCCTCTGTGGCGCACAGCAATGTTGAGACTGGCCTCTGTGGAAATCCATTTGCAAAATGATTTTGAGGACAATTGTTCTGAACGAATTATAAACTACAACCAATGTGGTATATGAATTAATGGGGGTTTTTTTCCCAACGAGACTGCTGTAGAATGAATGAGTGAATGAATGACACCATCATTTTGCCACCTGGTGAAAACCAAACGATAGTGTTCATGTCTCAAAGGAGGGATAAATAAAATGATTTAGCAAAGAAAACCTATATCCGTTGAAGCTACATGGTTGTCGAGCGCGTTTTAAATTATATAATACGTATTAATACAAACAGAAGCTTGTAAGAGAAACCTTATAATGTTGCATTCTGAAAATCAGTCTGTGAGTGCTGGTAATTATTTGTCAAAGTTCCCCCTAGCACTGGAAACAACGTGTATGTATTATCCATTCTACCACAAATCTTTATGCGAATGAATGGAGGTTATATGTTTAATGCTAAGTGGGGAGGGTTTTTCTTTTAGACAATTAGACTAAAAGCTTGAAGCCGCTTTCAGTAAAACTGGCGTGTAAGCCTTTTCAGCGCAAACCTAATTCGAACACAATCAATATCTACCTGCAATCAGACACACATGATGCAGTGCCTGACCAAGGTGACATTAGGGAACCTACTGTATTTGTGCAAGGTTTTGCACAAAACTCTGTAACGCAAATACACATGAGCAATTGAGACAATACCGAAGCAGGGACCTTCCAAAGTCCTCCGCAATATTTACTCCGTTCCTGTGCAAATGGAAACCCTTCCTGCCTCCATCCCCCCCCACCCACCCCAAAAAAAAAGAAAAAACAACAGCATGAGCAGTCCAACGTCAAACAAGAAAATATTATATTCATGCGGTACAGGCGCCTTACCTTTCCGCTCTCTTGCCCCCCTTGGCTGTGCCACTTGCAAAGACCCCCTCTCAAGATTAAAGAAAGATAAAGGATACAAGCTCCGGTAGAGAGGGAGGCGTCGCTTGAGTGCCCGGCTGGCATTGATGGCCGTGGCTCTGACCAGGCCCGGTAGCAGCTTCTTGCCTACGATCGCGCCGTCAAACAGGGGCCCGAAAAATGGCACCTGCGCGGCGACAAACCGACAAAATGTCACCTTTTTGATTTAAAGCTTTCGTGACTGCAGTGATTCATATTCTTGGTTCTTTCGGTAAAGTCACGTTGAGGCTATCCACATATACAAACACAGAGACCATTTCAACCGAGAAGATGGATTCTGGCTTAGCAATCATTGGAAGGATTTGATAAACCATTTCGGGTCTTAATTGATTGTTCACGCTTACGGTGGCTTTCAGACAGTATACATTAATTTTTCGTTTCCCCCCCTCCTTTTTCCGAACATAGATGGACTCGTCCTTCTAAACAAACTGTCAAATCGCTATCCGTGGTGCTAACGGTTAAAAATAAATAAATACAAACCGCCACTTCTCTCAAATGTTTCTTGCCGTTGGTTTTCACACCTGATGATGACTGTTTGTGTTACAGTCGAAACGTCGTGAGAATTTTATTGGTTTATATATATCTTATTATTTTATTGTTTCCCTTCAACGTGACTTTACCGAAAGAACCAAGAAAAATGTCACCTGTATGCATGTACGCTCAACTTATTTCGCACCGTATGTAGCCACCCGTGTAGCCACGCGTGCTAATAGGAGGTGCGGGGGAAGTACAACAAACTAAACACAAAAAGCAGTTCTAAAGGAATTAGTTTTCAATCTAAATTTAAAAGTGCACAGCACGCAAACTGCAAACTGTCATCCGACACAAAGCTCGCAACAGGAATGAGACGCGGAGAGCTCTCTCCGATGCGTTCTCCAGGTTGTACCGCGTGTTGTTCGACGCGATGTCTGACGTTCCGCCCCACGTGCCGGGAGCTTTGGGTTCCTTAAAGAACAGTAGCTTCAGTTTCTGAAGAAGCTCCCAGCACGGTGGAGCAGAAACGTCGCGCGTCGTGCCAAACCGCACGCGGGTACAACCCAAAAACGCATCAGAGCTGCGTAATTATAACCGCAAAGATACGGATAAGGCGGTTGATAAAAAAAGTATATCGATACCTTTATGAACTACGTCTGTTTTGCACAGTCATTTTGCTAAATAATCATATGTTTTGCCCAATAACGTGTCTTGCTCAAGGGCGCTTTCACTCAAAGTCAAAAAAGGGGCCCAGCAAAACAAGTGACAAGAAGCACCTGGGATTAATGATGTGTGGGCCAATTGGCATTAAACGATCCTAAGCCAAGAAAACAAACTACCAACATACGGTCCCTTGTTTGCTTAATGATTAACGCGGCGGAGCAGCTGCACAAAGGACTGGGTATTTAATTTCTTGTTTAATTAACACAGGTACTGCACCACCGGATACTGAGCAGTATGAATGTTCGACCGATCCATATTGCCAGCACCAGCTAAAATGGTGCCAAGGGAGAGACGACTCTTGTTTAATTATTTGAATGAAGCTGCAGTGATTATCTACAGGCAAATTAAGCGGTACAATGCACGAGTAATCATATACGCAGCGAGGTTTGTGGGCGTTCAGAGAGTAGGGTCGGTGAGATGTGGTGATACTACGATATTTTGGATGATATAACTCACTCGATTTCGGCAAAATATTTTACAAACTGTTGTATAGAAATATTTAAGTGTTTTTTTTTCTCACTTTTATTGGAGGTACGGCAAAGTAATACATTTAGAACATACAAAATGTGAATTACTAGCTTCTGGGATGCTGATATAGCGATAATTGTCACCTCATGGATTGCAATACCATATAGTGGAATATCATATCGCGGTCCCCCTCGTCAGAATAAAGACGTTCATTTCCAAAGTAAAAGCCCATTGAACTTAGGACCTCTTTTTTCAAGGGTCACTCTGTCGGCAGACAAAATGACAGCATGTCGACGCACGTATGTTGAACTACTTTCGCACCGTGCATAGCCAACCGTGTCGGGTAGTGGTGGCTTTAACGACACATTTATGCGATCTATAACCCCCCAAAAAAACCTGTATCATGGATGACATTGGTCTTGAAAGCCTACGTGGTCAAACCGACATGCCCGTGAGTGTTAGCGAGCGGAGAGCATTGCTTTGTTCCGGTGTGCGCGGAGAAGCGAAGTGCCGTGACGTGATCGCCAGTGACAGGTCAGAGACCTTTGCTTCTCCGCCTTTTGGCTGAAATCAAGTCCAGTGGGTGCCACGGTGGCGAGATGTTCACTACCTCGCCTGGTATACAGCAGGCCGAGTGTTCGATCCGGACTTCGACGACGCCTGTTGTACATTAGAAGTTTGCATGCCAGCAAGATGTGCCCTACTTGAGCGCATTGGTACGAGGCAGAGGAAAGTGGAAACAAATGACAACATGTGCACGTGGACACGTGCGGGGCTATCTTCCCATAGATCGTGATGATGATGATGATGACGATGCAGTCAGTTTAAAATACCTCCGTCTTCTTCATGATGCATATTCTGAACGTGTGGCCACGGAGGGGGTAGATCACGATGAGGACGTCTCTGAATTCGGTGGGGATGATGTCTCGCCGATACTCCCGCGTGTGCTCGCACCACACCACGTGCACCTCGTCGTTGCCCAAGTGGCGGAGCTGCGAGGCGACGGTGGAGATGGACCCGGGGCGGTGGGGACGGGGCGGGGGAAGGAACGAGCGACACACGGGAGAGTCGCGTGAGACGGTCCGTTGCTGTGACGACCAACAGCAAGGACGGCGACAAACGCGGCGGCGACGGCAAGGGATGCGGGCAACATTTAACGCACGTCGATAAAACAAAGTAAAAAAAAACACTGTCAATATCATGTTGATGAATATACATGTTTGTTTGCTTGGTATACAATGTATGGAGCAGGTGGTGGTATAGTGGCTAGCAAGCAGTGCTTGGAACCTGAGGACCTTAGTTCGATTGCCGGCGACGGGCGAGTGATTATCACAAAGGTTCTTGCCCTCGTCCCCACTTCACCAACCCATATTGACCAGCGTGGTGAAGTATGGTCAATAAACCCCTGCGAGTGACACGGCGCGGGTTGCGGGGTGTGAATGGTTCTGTACCTCGGTTTGTTTGAGCGACAACAACGCAAAAGGAGGAAAAATGCACAACTCTCTCTCGTGTCACCTTTGTAACAGGCATAACACAGTGGGCATTTAAACATGTCAAATGCCACATCAAACAACTGAAAACCAGTAGGTTCAACTTCAGAAATGATTTAAAAAACAGTCGACTATTCACACAACGCTTTCATCAATTCATATGATTTATTACCGACTATTCACACAACGCTTTTATCAATTAATATTATTTATTACCGATTTACCAGTCGATGTTAGTTATTTTCCACAAAAAAACAAATTACCAGGCAATTACAGCAACAGCCCCCTGCTTGGAGAGCGATATTGAATTTTCTGTGCAAGGCGTGATGATAAATAATGTGCATTAAGGGAAATGTTTGCCGTGTTCACACATAGATTATCGATTCAAGCTGCTGGCAGTGCGTTTTTGTTGTTGTTAATTTAACAGTAAATACCTAACATGCATTTGATAGTATTATAAAACTTATTTTATTTTACTTATTTATCCGGGAAAGCCACGCCGAATGATAGGTCTCTCTTTCAAGAGGGTCTTGACCAAGTTGGGTTTTAATTACAAGATGTTTTCAGCCAATTGATAGCAGAGTAATTTTATTCCTTTTGCTATATGCCCCCTGCCGTGTTCCCTTTCTTCTGTCTATTGTGCACGGACGACTACTTTATTGAGGGCGATATTGGCACACAAAGTAAAAATTGATTGAGTCATTGGCGACTGAGCTGAGGCCATCAACTCTGCTTGCTTGAGAATCTGACTTTATCACGGTTAGGGGCCACCTGGATTCCCACCCAGCCCTCTGACGTCTGCATGTTGAACTTCTGTCGCACCGTGAGTAGCCAACCTTGCTAACCGGAGGTGCGTGAAATAGGACAAGAAACTAAATACAAAAAGCAATTCTAAAGAAATGAGTTTTCAACATAGATTTAAAAGCGCACAGCTCCAGTGGTTTCCTAATATCGGAAGGAAGAGCGTTCCAGACGGCAGCAGAAGCGCGCATCTGAAAACGCCGTGCTTTGCAGTGACCACCTCTGTTCGATGGCCAGCCAGGATGATCGGAATTCGCGTGATGGTTTATGCTCCTTGATGAAATTAGCAAGATATTGTGGTTAATTTGTGGCAAGTCGCACAGCCCATCACTGCTCCATTACCTTCTTCGTGAGCGCGTCGTCCGTGTCGGAGGGCATGCGCGTCGACACGTGATAGATGACCTCCACGGTGGAGGTGGCGTAGTATGGAGCAGTGAGCCCATTGCTGCCATTCCTCTGTAGCCCCCCGAGAAAGCCACAGTGTCTCGTCAGATCCACCTGGCGGACGAGAAGGCAATTCGAACCTCCTAATCCAATTCAAGGTTCCTTAATGGACACTATGCGGCATGCCAAGATGTGGTATCCCAGCAAGACTTCAGTAACCTTAGTTCCTGAGAAGAAACTTTATTTGCAATGCAGTTGCGCCTCATTCTCAAACATGAAAACTGAGATATAATGGCAAAAGTGCAGCCTTGCGATCGCTTGATCACGCCACCCTAGAGAGTATTTGCCCACACTTTACCCCAGTGATACTGCTCCTCTACTGAATCCTGCCGACCAGAGTCCCTACTTGACCAATGGTCCGTACTGCCGCCCCCCTGCTGCCCCCCCCCCCCGCTCCGCCCCCCCCCCCGGAGATAAAGAAACACAGGTCGATGAAACCCAGGTGGCAGAGACATTGTGGTGGCTGCTGTCAAAAAACCACTCAGCCAGTGGTGTCGGCTGACACATAGACACTCGCCTTGTAGTCATGGGGATGCTGAGGATGACTGGGAGAAGGGGGTCTCTCATGATGAGCTAAGTGGGAAAGGGGCTCATTGCATAAAAAACTCAAGTTTGAGTCTCCGAGCGAGCTCACTTATTTCAGCTACCAGGGGGGAAAAAACCCCACTCAATGGTTGTTGAACACCAAAACGTACAGTAGTGTCCACCACAGCCACCACACATAAACTACCTACACAAATGACAATTTAAAAAAAAACAACCCCCCCTGCATGCCACTTCTTCCCTGACTCTCGAATTCTAAGAATTTAAATGGGTCCTCAAAACTCGGGAAGCATCCACATACGCAGTAGTCCTAACCCGCATCCCAACCCCAAGGGTCCAAGCTGTAACAAGCCCAATGCATCGTAGCATTTTACAAAAAGCATAGATTTGTACAATGATACTTCACATGGTACATGTTGCTGCGCACTTGAAAATGTATCATGTCCTTCACAACTGGCCATCTCTCTTCATCAATAACAATTCCTTGGAAGGATTGATTTGTCATTTTGCCTTCCTGATTCCACCATTCAACGTGCCATATTGGTGCATTATCTACTTGTTGCGCGTTGCTTTGATCTCGTTGCGCGTTGGCTCCATCGTGAATAAACCGTCAAGGAATACTCGATTTTTTTTAAAACGTGTCTGGTTGCACTGTATATTACTGCCAATTAGAGCAAATCTCATTTCATCGCTCTTTCAGTGCTTAAGAGTCCGAGCAATAGAGGCAAGTGCAAAGAGCGTCAGGCTTACGCTGCGTCAAACTTTTGTAAATAACAACAACAACAAAAATCGCGAGCGCGACGTTGCTGCCGTGAAGTTTTCGTTCAAACAGCACGAGCGGGCGCCTCCGATGCGGCCGGCGTTCATTTGCCGCTCGCAACCGAGGCACTCTGCTGGCAACGGACGCTGCAAAGGGTTACCCGTAGGTCGCGGCAATGGCCGGCGAGGCCCCCACCGCTCCTCTCACCTCCCAGCCCAGTCCGGCGAGGAAGTCTTCGTAGGACTGGCTCCCGCCGGCGTTCGACAGGATGGAGTGTTTGTCTTCCTGTCCCTCCGCGACGAACAACACGGCGATTTTGTGCGTCTCTCGGCTGGCGGGAGCGGGGAGGGGGAACAACACAGACCGGTGTACGCTCGATTAGACTTGCGGGACTGTGTTCGTTCGTTGCTTACCGTTTTGTTTTCTTAACGACAAACAAAATAAACACCACCCCGGGTAGGTTTACACAGTTGCACTGTAAGAGATCGACGTTCGTTCGGATTTCACCGCGTAGGTTTTGCGAAATTGGATTCAGAATCGGAATCTTTATTTGTCCTGGAGAAATCCGATGAGCTATGAAGCTCTTTTCCACAGGTGTTGAGCGAAATGTTGCGGGGCATCTTGCCGAACGACACGCGGTGCGACCAGAAAACATCGCGGAGTGATCTACAGCCGAAACCGTTTTCTGTAAACTGACGCGTTCAATAATGGTAAATGACTTCACAACGATGTGTGCATAAATCTCGCTTTAAAGCTTTCGTGACTGCAGGGATTCATCTTCTTGGTTCTTTCGGTAAAAGTCACGTAGAAGGGAAATAATAAAATAATAAAAATAAAACATAATAAAATAAAATTCTCACGACGTTTCGGCCACAACACAAGCAGCCGTCCTCAGGTGAAAAAACAGAACTGTCGGAAAGACGGCGCTAAAAATGATTCGTCTTTCCGACAGTTCTGTTTCTTCACCTGAGAACGGCTGCTTGTGTTGTGGCTGAAACGTCAAGAGAATTGTATTTAATTATTTCCCTTCTACGTGACTTTACCGAAAGAACCAAGAAGATGTGTGCATAAATACGAATTCCGGACTACTATGGAAATGATCCGAGACTGTTTACAGTTATTTCCATGACGAGTGTTATGCAATAGACGTTATGCCTTTCCGCAATACCAATTGGTCTGTTGTATTATTAAACAGTTTGGTATTAGTTACATCATTCATTAATGTATAGTTAAATGCATATTTCACTTCATGTAGAACGTACCAGTATTGAGAATCCAAGTTTTTCAATTCCCTTAAAAGCTTTTCATTCTTTTTCAGCAGGTCAAAGCTTCCTCTGCAAATGCACACACGCACATGACCACACACGCACGCGCACACACACAGTCACGCACCAGTGAAAACCGGCATCACAATTCGCATTGCGACGTGTCGATTAATTAAGTACAATCGGCTCTTCGGCTCACTATACAAGGATTTAATCCATAATTGTATTCACGTGCGGACGTAACGTTCGAGCTACATTTTGGCGAATGGAGGGGAGAAAACTGTAGAAGAGACGGAAAAAGAATGTGGCACAATACAAACGAGAAGTTCAACACGTAAGCTGTCGCGACCAATATCACCCACAAATCTGGCTGTCGCCTGATGAAGCTAGTTGTAATTACTGGAGAAACGTCGTACTCAGATTTTAAATGTCGTGGCTTGGCTCTCCAACACACCGGTTAGTGCTGTACAAGTGACGAATTGCCATGTTCTGTTTACGTGACAACCCTTACTAGTTGGCTGTGTCGGGTGGTGGCAGGTTTAACGACACATTTATATATTTATACGCGCTCTAACCCCAAACCCCCTCCCCCCCCCCTCTATTATGGACAAACGAGAAGGTTAATTTTAAAAAAAAATAATAATCGATTTTTTGTATTCGAATCACGATGGCAAATCGTGACAATTTAACTTCTAATTTTCATTATGGGCGTGAATTGCCACAGCCCTAACATTCTCCTATTCCAAACCTGAATGTGTCGTATGGACGTGGGCACCTTAAATATTGACATATGTATACATTTCATACGGTAGTATTTATCGGTTTATTTCTTTACAAGTGCCAGGTGTACTAAATTGCAGTGCTACGACACACCGCGCTATTACATGTACGCAAAAACGCATCCCACTCCTTTGGATGTCACGGAAGAGTGAATCCCACCGAAATGCAATGCGGTGAAAGGGAAACGTGCAATGGAAACGTTTAAACACAGGCTACCTGTTGCAAATGCTATCTTTAAAAAGCATACAATGACATACTGTACCGCAAAATGGTACACTTTGTCACTGCCTACACTCAAACATAATGGTGTCTTCGAAATCCTTAGACGCTATGCTTATATCTTCTGCAGGAATGCTCGTCGTATTAATATATTGTTCCTGATAATATAAAACACTCAAAAAAGCACTCTGATCCAAACGGTGTAGAATTGATATAAATATGCTCTTTTTGGAGATGCAAAAGTGAAACCTAATTTTTTATAATATTCACTTTCAGATTCGCTGCACCACCTGTGGATGAATGTGATGACGATGATCAAAACCACACCATCAATGGATCCACGAGGTCATCGATAAATCTATGAATATTGAGCACAATTTTCTGCCACATGCTTGGGAGCCGATTTATCGCAAGTGTGCAGAGGCGGGCTGTTAGGGACTCTTGCGCAGGGCTCCGACCCCACTGGAAAGACCAGGTGTAAATAATAAATACAAGATTACCCGCCACCAATCCCCCCTTGCAAAATGGATAACTACCCAGTGCTGCTTCATCTGTGAAGGTCCACTCATAGACCGTGGGTTCATGAGGTCACAGACGTCCAGAATCCACAAGTGAATGTCACACCCCCCCCCACCCTCGCCCCCCCCAACCCACCCCTGCCCCCTCCCTGATCACTACATGAGAGGCATGCAAGGCTTCATCGATTCAAATCAATTCCGATACAGGCATGGAGAAGGGCACGAGATCATGAATTATTTGCCATTCGCTAATGGAACAAATGAACACTGGACAAACAAAATGTGACCAAAAAAGGAGAAACGAATACAAACAGGAGGGTAAAATAACACAACAAATAAACAGATTCTGGAATCAAATCAAGATCACAAATCATGCCAACAAGATCATGACCACAGATCGTAACAATTCCTGGAACTATTTGGGGAAGAATTGTAAACACGTTTACCACATTGACCCATGGGTTTTTTTGGGAGGGTTAGGCCACGTGGTAGTTTTACGCCAAAAAATTCACTAACCCTTTACAACCCGACAAGGTTGTCACGTTTTAACAAATATATTATTTAGAAGTGGCCACCGTATCGATTAAATTCCTGCCAATGAACCTCCTCCTCGCAGGCGGCTTCGAACTTTTCACGAGTGAATTTGACCTGGTGATGTTTGAATTGAGTCGTAACAAAGTCTTGCTTACAGACTTTTGTGGTTCGGTGACGGGCGGCCACCCTGGTTAATGCCACGCACTGGAGCCGATTTACTGAATTTTAACCGAAACACACGTGCCGTCCGCTTCACGGCGGGCGCTAAAGATCGCGAGGCGTCATCCGAAATAGAATAGGCCACGCGTGCTGGCGTCAAAGGCCCAACTTTGATTATTACTCACAAATTACCTGATTGGATGAAGCCACAGAGCAACATCGCCCCCTACTGTGGAACTACTGCGGACTGTAATTGTCTGCGAAATGCATGTCTTTTGTCCGCGAGAGCTTTGAGCTAGTAGACTGTCGTGAAAACCAGACCGTACGAACGGTTTGATTCGATTTCAATATTCCCCGTTGCATTTCCAAGAGACGAGGCTGACGGTGGGGGGAGGGGTGGGGGAAGGGGTGGGGGGAGTGGGAGAGCAGGCTGTGTACCTCTTATCCCATGAGAGGAGGCCAAGGTCGTTGAGCAGCAGGCGGCAATAGTAGAAAGTGGAGGACGGCTCCGTGGGCTCGGGCTCTGTCTGTGGAGCGGCTGCATTTGCAGAGCAAGAGGAGACCGTCAGCTGGCCCTCCCCGGCCAGGTGTGCCCTCTCTGCCTGGCTCTGCCTCCGCAGGCACTCCATAAATAGCGTCTCGTCCCCAGGCTCGGCGAGGGGTGCGGGCGGGTCGACGGAGGGCACGTGAAGCGGCAGCCCGGGTCCTGGCAAACACTCGGGGCTGCTCTGTCCGACGTAGCGAAGCAAACTGTCCAGGGCATCTTCTCCGCCTTCCAGGGAGTCGTACGTCGGCAAGCGGTTTCCGCCGCTCGCAGGCGCACGCTCGCTTTGCCCACCGTTCGCTTCGGAGCCTCCAGGCGCTGGATCCCGAATGGTCCAGTCGCCGCCCGCAGGAGGCGTGCCTCCAAACGCACCTTCGGCAAGGCCACCGTCGGGCTGGGCGACGCCGTACAGGAGCGTGCTGTCCCACGTGTACTTCCCGGAGACGTCGCGCGCGATGAAGCGCACGTCGCAGGCCGGAGTTTGCAGCCCCGCCAGCTCCGAGCTCCTGCCCGGAGAGAGCGGCAACTGGACGAATGACAGGAGGGAGTCGCCGCCGCCGCTGTCGGCGTGCGACAGGACGAAGAGCTGCAGGTTGGGGCTTGAGAAGAGCTCGGGGCCGATGCAGTCGTCGCCACCGGCGCCGGTGGCGCCGCTCACGCAGGGGTTCTCGTGGCCCTCCGTCAGCAGGCTGGCCAGCAGTGCGGGCCCGCCACCCATGGGGTAGTGGCCCAGGTGAGTCAGCAGGTGCACCATCACGGTCCAAGCCGCCAGGGGCACGGGGTCATGCTCGCTGCCCTCGGAGCCTGAGAATAAATGACAGACGTCGCTTTAATGCGAATGCATCTCAACAATTGCACGATACATAATTACTTGTGTACGGTGTTGCTTTGTGCGTTGAATGGGGTCCCATGGTTTATATGGAGTGCTCTACCCAACAACATCCCATAATCCGGCAGCATTTGTTAAACAAGTCTGACTCTGCTGATGCGACCCAGGTGGTCGAAACAAATGCTGCTTGGTAATATTGGTCAGGAAAGCCAATTGGTTGATGGTTTTAAAAAAAACATTTGTGGAGCCATAGAAGCAAGTTCTGCTGATATTAGCTTTAACCAATAAACAATGAGTTGTCACTGATGATTAACGCTGGGATCCAGCCCTTGAAATACTCGGCACTGGTCCAGTGGTTCAGTCTGATTCCATGATATAAAAAAAACATTATGAAAGTCTTATACAAGGCAAGAGCCTGTAACACGTGATCACAGCTCTCTTTGACCCAGGGCTGCATTTTAGGGTAAAATGTGTTGGTGAAAAGGTTTTTTAATAGAAAGAAAACACACGCACACATATTTTACCAAGTGCAGCATGATACTTTGACAGCATTGCAGGGAGGGGCGGGGGGGGCAACTCACAAGTTCAAGTACGCGACAGTTTATAAAAAAAAAAAACATTCACACCTTTGCAAAAGCTAAATTTACGTTATTTTTTTCTGACGTTGAAAACTCAAAACCTTTCCAAATCAAAGCGAGCACAGTCTGTAAAGTAAGTCAATTACTTTAAGTATCATCAGTCTACATTCGCAATTAAGAATGAAAATGTGAAACAAAAGTGAGTAAATACTTAATAAAATACCCCAGCAGCATGGCTGACGAGCAAAAACGTTTATACCAGGATTGACCTATTTTAATAATTTATCACATTGCAATCATCGATTCAACATCACGCACGCGGGATTATTTTTTTGGAAATGCGATCGAAGCGCGATTCCCCGTGATTTTTTTTTTTTAAATCGGCCGCGCGGCTTCACGTTCGCAAACGTGCAAAAAACAGTGACCACGAACAATACAGGGGGCGAAAAACGGTGAGTCATGTTGATTTTTAATCCTGGGTTCACCAGACACAGGGATAACAACACCATGGGAAATAAGCCAACTGTGCGCCCAAAGAACCACCCCCCCCCCCCCGCCAAAACAAAAAAAACCCCTGCCTCCAGGTGAGTCATAAGCTCGGAGATAATGCATAGGTATTAAGGGGGAGGTAATTTTACATTCAGCTGCGGACGTCTAGAGACTCGCCGTGCATTTTACAACGCGCCGTGCGCCTCCCTCGGCGTCCCTTTCAGCGCACACCTACACCACGCACAAAGGAGAGCCTGCAGCCGCCAGCACTTGTCATTGCTGCGAATGAGGTTAAGTCCTTTTAATGACCGGAGACGAGTTTTCAAACTCTCGGTAACCTTCCATGCGCGGCATTGTCTCCCACTTTGCGTCCCTTTACCATTAGCCTCGACGTAAAAGGGTTTTTTAAAACCGAGCCTGCATCCAGTGAATGTTGCTTAATTGCATTTCAGCCAAATGCCACTTTCCCCCCCCCCCCCCCGCCTTCTTCCATCCATTTCTTCACAATTACAAGCTCGATCGCAAGCAGACAAAGGCCAATGGCGAAAGTGGGTTTTACGTTGGCAATCACAACCGCAAGGCTCGGTCTCCTTTTAACATTAAAAGGTTCCTTGTTTATGGGTCTGGGATTTGATGGTGACCCAGAAATAGGATTAGAGGGAGGCAGCAGGTGATGTTTGTGTGGGGAAGCTTTGTGCGAGGGATAAACAAATAAATAAATCCCAATCCCACTCGCTTTTTAAACTTAGGCCCTTTGCACCTCCACCCTCCCCCCGCAGTGACATTATTCTCATTCATATCTATTTTACTATTTTTTTTTGTCCATGTATATATATATTTTTTAAAAAATTGATGTACAATAGATATTTTTTAATTATTTTTCTACATGCACATATTGAAAACATTTTATACTCGTATATATTTTACAAATGTTTTGTACGCAAATATTTAGAAAAAAATTGCACGCATTGTCACATTTTTTGTTGTACACATATATCTATTTTTAAATGCCATCAGACTACGTGCCAGATTGTCTATTGACGTAACTCGCTGACCCGGCCCCTGCTGAGCTCCGAAGCTCATCGGATTTCTCCAGCATAAATACAAATTCTGATTCGGATGTTTAGATGCCCAGCCAAAGGATTGCATCTCCACTTCAGCAACCGATTGCTATGTAAATGTGCTTCATGTGATACCATAAAATTATTGTTTCGTAAAGGAAGGCGCTATTTTCACACTGACGCTCTGCAGTAATTTCACAGCAGGGGGCGATGTTGCTGCGTGTAATCCCAATTGATTAATTTGCAAGTTATTTTCCACGTTTAGACCTTGACGCCGGCGGCACACAAAGGTCGACTTCTTCAAACGTCACGGGATCTTTAACGTCCACTGTGAAGCAGACGACGAACGTTGTAGGCGTCAATACGCTAGCAGTATTGACCGGGGCGGCCTGCCTGGTTCGAACCGTGGACCTCTGCAACAACCGCTGGGACACTTCACTGACCCGTGTCACCGGTAAATTCTTCACATGATCATAACACTACATATGAACCGGAGGCGTTTTTGTTGTTGTTAAAGCAACTGTTTCCACAATACAGTAAAACCCTTGTTAATTTGACACATTCGGGACTCTGGCCTTGCCGAATTATCCAATATTCATAATTATGTACAACGGTACTCCCCAGTGCCTCCTGCCCCAATACGTTTTTTTCTCCAAATTTATTTTCCAAACTCTTCACACCGTACGCATTGACACACACCCTGCATCAATTCTATCCAAAACTTTGGATCTGTCTTGCAGACCAATGGATTTATACTTGAGTCCCTTTCAACCCTTTCTTGATGTGGGTAGAGATGACATGTCTGAGAGGGTTGGCTTGCAGAGAGTGCATAAACGTGGTAAAGTCCAAAGCATAGTGTCTGAACCCACGCTAACCACGCGGCTCGCCTCGAGACTGAATCTTTGTTTTGGTTGTGGCACACGGCGTCGCTCCACGTGCATGCCGAAATTGGACCATTCGGTATGGCAATTCGGCTTATGGCGAAATACTAATACTGTATAAGTACCGAAAGCACAGCCGTGCTGAATTATCCCCATTTATAAATGATCAAATACCGCAATAACGAGGTTTTACTGTAGATGAATAAACTGAGGTCAAAATCCTGAAAATGAAATTGGGGATTGCTCTGTGTATGTACAATCATGACATAAGAGATTAGTTAAATCCTCCTACAAATAAATTAATGCATTGCCGTATACGTTGCAACATATGTAATTGAATTCTAAACAAAATACTGAACATAATACAACATGCAAGCAGACCGCTGAGTGTGAAATGTTAACAAAGAAGGCATTGCTTTTGATTTAAAGCTTTCGTGACTGCAGGGATTCATATTCTTGGTTCTTTCGGTGAAGTCACGTAGATGGGAAACAATAAAATAATAAAAATATAAAACAATAAAATTCTCACGACGTTTCGACTGCAACACAAGCAATCATCATCAGGTGTGAAAACCACATAGCGTCCAATAATGCATAAATACCCCCGTAGCATGAAGAAGGACTCTCTTGAGGAGCCTTTCAAAACCATCACTTTACCCTACATTGCGGGGATCACAAAAAAGATCTCAAAAATCTTGAATAAACAAAGATCCAGGTCCGATTCAACACATTACATAAAAACCGTGATCTGGTTCCGTCTGTAAAAGATGTGATTCCGGACATACAGTACCCTGGCGTCTACAAACTAAGTTACCTCTGTGGTAGTAGTTACATTGGAGAAACCAAACGACGTCTCGGACCGCATTCGTGAACACAAAGCAGACCTAAAACACGGTAGGACCAACACCTCGGCCGTAGCAGATCATTGTTATAATTCAGTAGGCTCACATGGCATTGACTTCTCCAAGACAGAGGTTCTTTGAAAGCCATCTGGCTACCATGAGAGATTCGTTCATGAGGCTATCCACATATACAAACACAGACAATTTCAACCAAGATGGATTCTGGTTTAGCAATCATTGGAAGGATTTGATTAACCATTTCGGGTCTTAATTGATTGTTCACGCTTACGGTGGCTTTCAGACCGCATCCATCATTTTCGTCTCCCCCCTCCTCTTTTCCGAACATAGATGGACTCGTCCATCTGAATAACTGCCAAATCGCTCTCCGTGGTGCTAACGTAAAAAAAAAAACGCCACTTTTTTAAAATTTTCTTGCTGTGGTTTTCACACCTGATGATTGCTTGTGTTGCAGTCGAAACGTCGTGAGAATTTTATTGTTTTATATTTTTATAATTTTATTGTTTCCCTTCTACGTGACTTTACCGAAAGAACCAAGAATATCAACATATTTTGTGTTTGTTATAGTTTTATGATTGAGTAACGTGTTATAACCAAAGAGAAATAGATCATGATATCAGCATAGGAAGACTTCCAGGAAGAAACTGGCATTAACACGTGTTACATTCGGTGCCCTTGGTCAATCCACTGCTGGATGGGGACCTCCCCAAAGCTTTGCGGGAGATAATTTGACCATACTTCACCAATCTCTGGTTGGTGAAGGTGGGGAGCATAGAAGTACGGCACAACAATGAGTGTTGCTGTACCGCCCTTCTGCCGTTCACCATGTAGCCCGGCAGCAGTCTGTGACAACCTGTGGCGCATGATGCTCGCCCATCCACCGCATCGCGCGCTTTCACATGAGCTTCTGCGGCCGTCTGTGGAAGCTCTTCCTTCCGGTATTAGGAAGCTACTGGGAGCTGTGCATTCTCATTTCTTTAAAACGGCTTTTTGTGATTAGTTTGTTGTCCTTTCCCCCACACCTCCGATTAATACGGTCGGCTGCGTACGGTGCTACAGATGTTCAACGTACATACATCAAAGCCAACCCAGGCTCAAGCCCGCTCGGCTTTCCTCCGAAGTCTAACGACGTCCTACACCTGTCGGCGATTCAGCCAACGGAGGCAGAACGCCGTCGCGCTTCTACCACGGTCACCCGGCATCATTACCTGGAGCGCAGGCAACGGACGCAGACTGCTCGGCCAGGCCCTCGGAGCGATCCTTGCGGTCTTCCGGCGAGGCCTGCGTGTCATGCCCTGCCGAGGCCGGCGCCTCTGCCGGTCCCAGGGGAGCGTAGCCGGGCTGCGCGAACGCCGCCGATCCGTGAACGCAGCCGTGCAGCACCTGTGGGAGAAAATGGCACGCCGGCACGTGCGGACACAACCAAAGACAAAGGATCCTTCGTGCAGCCTCAACAGACTTTTGGGGGCAAGTGCTATTGGTGAACACCTACGAAGGCCGGCAGGGCAACACGAGAGGGCGGGTGGCCAGCACCACGTGCCGCTATGCACGCGCATCGCCCGTTTATCAATGCACTGCTGGATGAGGGCCTCCACTGCCTCAGTGGACATCCTATTTAAGGAGTTATGTTGTATTAAAACCTTTTTTTTAAAATAGCGTATCGTTAACGATAACTGATGCCCTTATTTTATTTACACAGAATGTCACATTAAACCATCATCTGCCATCGTCTATCGACTGCTGGATGAAGACTGCCGCGAGCCATCGCCATCTCTGACGGTCCTGCGATGCAAACACCCATCCATCCATCTCACATCGCTCCATCTCAATCGGTGCACATCGGCTCCACTGTGTTTGCGCCGTCACAAGTTCCGTAGTTTGAACACCGAGGTAGTGTCATAACAGTTCGATTCCCAGCCACAGCTACCATCAGTGGAAATTGAAAGCAAAACCAGTCCTGACTGCCCCTCCCCAACTTCCACCTTCTTCAATCCACATGAACCAGCACGGTGAGGTATGGTTGAACGAACCAACCCCCACCCCCCATGACTGGTACATTGGAGGAAAGCCTTTATCCCGCAAGGAGAACTGACAAAAGGCTTTAAATTATACTCAATTATTTATCGTGCAAAAAATGCCAGATTGCCTATTCTTTCATTTTAATGATTTATTTTACCAGGTAAGGCCCACTGAGCTATGTAGCTCTTTTTCCGAAGTGACCTGGCCACAAATGATACCTCAACGAAGTGGCTTATGTTGACATTCATAGCAGACAAATACTCTAAGCGCATGTTTATAAATGTGGAGGGAAAAACCAGAGGACCCCGGAGAAAAATCCACACCACCACGGGAAGACGGAATATAAAAACTCCAAATATATAGCAGCAGGCGTCAAGGGTCGGGATCGAATCCACGACCTCTTGCACACACGAGGTGAGGTAGTTAACATCTCACCAGCTTACTTTTGTCTGGGCTGCCAAACGCAGAGCACGCAATGAGAGTTGAAATATTCCATTTCATTCCCCGGACCAAAACGCAGCTGACGAGCAGAATAATGGAACGGAGCCGATCTGAATGGCTTTTCTTCTTCGCGGCGCACGCTGAAGGGAGCATCTCAATTATGCTGAATGTTAATTATCATTGGCATGGCGGCATCACTAAGCAGCAGTGGTAAAACAGAAACAAAAACTTTATCTATAGAAACAAGAGCAGACAGACAAGGACATTAGAGATGGCATACCTTTCAGGTTTACAGATGCACCTACCGGATTAGTGGGCGAAGACTGACAGTTGAGCGAATTAATCAATTAGCTCCGACTGTTTTTAATTCTTTCGCCTATTCTGAATAACGGGGGAACAGAAAAACGAATCTCCATATCCGATTTTTTTTCTTTACAAGCTCTACCAGTGGAAGCTTTCTTGTTTATTATCATCATTGCAGCATTTATAACTTGGTCCTCTTTTTGATTTAAAGCTTTCGTGACTGCAGGGATTCATATTCTTGGTTCTTTCGGTAAAGTCACGTAGAAGGGAAACAATAAAATAATACAAATATAAAACAATAAAATTCTCACGACGTTTTTACTGCAACACAAGCAATCATCATCAGGTGTGAAAACCACAATAAGAAAATTTGAAAAAGTGGCGATTATTTTTAACGTTAAAAATAACCGCCACTTTTTCCAATTTTTTTACGTCAAAAATAACCGCCACTTTTTTAAAATTTTCTTGTTGTGGTTTTCACACCTGATGATGATTGCTTGTGTTATACGTGACTTTACCGAAAGAACCAAGAATATGAACTTGGTCCTCGTTTATGTAAAATATTACTTAAATGCCAGTTTGCAGAGCAAACACAGCTATAGCAACTGGTAAAAAAAACCAGCACAAGTATCTCCATGGCAACAGACGCTTCACATTTTACTCAAGTGCACCTGCAAAGCCCATTCGAGTCCTGCTGTGAGTTTTCCCTGAGTGAAATTCACCACTATTCAGAAAGATACTGCTCTGGCGAAAAAAAAAACAACAGCCCGTTCCAACGAGCTCCCCGAGCAGTTGCCCCGGTTCGGAAACCGCGCCTTGTCTCGGCACGATGCTGCCCGACGTTCCGGAAAAAAGCTACTTTCACGACGCGGAGGAGAAACGTCGCGCACTCAAGAGCCGTGCGACGTGACCGCGAACACCCACGCGGAGAGCGGCGCAACTCCCGTCGTCACGCGCGGGAGCAACAGGAATACTTTTTGAGGTTGAGCTCCCGGGACGAACGGGAAGCCGCACGCGACGGACATAATCTGAAATCCTTATTATGCGTGCACCCCTGGTTCCCCTCTCTAAAAAATACGGCCATAACACATCCAGCACCTCCTCCCTTCTTCTATCATTTGCCGATGAATGCCATGCGGTCGAATTATCGTGATGGCTTTTGTAAGGCGAAAATAAGCGAAGACCAGAGTAAAGGTCAGGTACGTAATCGGCAAAATCATCTTCCCATTACACAAAATAATCTCCGGATACTCCCACACAGCTATACAATCTCATAATTTGATCTAAAAATGCGTATTTATTCTATGAAATGGCATAAAAAACATGTTCACAGATACGTGCCCAAATCAAAAAGGATATATTATAAACATAATAGCTATAATTGTTTGGTATGAACAATTCGTAGCCTTTTTTAGCCGAGCACGTTGAACATTGGCGCCAGAAGGCAGTGTCTTGAATTATCCCATTTCGGGGCCCTAAACAGAAACAAATCTTTGGGTGCCTCACCCGATTCCAGACGTTATATGACAATCAATCTACGTGCTGCACGAAATAACTATACGAACAGACTCATTCGATATTTTAAAGTTATTTTAATATTATTTTTACACTACTCGAATTGTGCACCAGTCGATCGGCAGGTGGCGTGTGGTGGGGTAAAGTCTGGGTTCTCCCACCAATTACGAAACGCCTGCCCAGCTTCAAATAAGTGGGCCAAAATACCCTCCCAGAGGGGCTCTCTAAAGCTCATTCTCGTGAAGGCCCCTTTCTCCAGCAGTCGCGTTAGCCAGGAATTGCAGGGCTGTACCATGACCACGTTTTTATTACAATGGGTAATTTTTTACATGTGTAAGGACAGTCCGGGGTGATGTAGGGACAGTACGGCTCCCCGGGACCATGGTTGCTAATTAACGTACCGGGAACAGACAGGGTCACGCTAGGGTAATCTGGGACCTAAGTGGTCGCTAATAATGATTGATGGGACAAGCGTGAGGGAAAGCATGGGACCCAACGGTCGTAAATTGTAATAAAGGGCAGAGAGAGAGAGAGACAGGGCCAGGTGCGGTGAGTGAGAGTTGGGGAATAGGGGCGTGGCCGGGTCGTGAGAGGAATAAGAGCCGGTGCAGACCGGACCTCGTGGCTGTTGTTGTGGGGAATCGCCGTCGCCGCCTTGGGACGGGTCGTCTTCATCATCACCGTGTAGTCTTGAAGGGCTGGAGTTACGTTGTCTCAGAATAGAGTTATCTAAATTTACACAAGTGTATATAGGCACTCGCGGTTACTCGTTTAGTTGTCAGCGGACTTTATTCGTAATAAAAAATAGATCAAAGAATAAAAAGCTACATTACATATGTAAGAATCTGAGTCTGAGCTATTATTTAGGGTATATCTATTTTTTTATGAATCTGGGAAGGGCCCCTTGAGATACTTGGGGCCCAAAGCTCGTGCCTGACTTGCTCAAGCCTAACGCCATCGTGAGCGGCATGGCATTTGTGAAGGTGGCCTCCGACGCACCTTGAACACGGAGCTGAGCAGCGAGGGCCGCCTCTCCCCGGGGTCTCTTCCGCACGCAGCCGCCGGCTGCAGCAGAGCTGGCAACGTCAGCACCATGCACCAGTCCAGCAAGCACAGCAGCAGAGACACCATGCGCTGGAAGGTCGGCTCATGCCAAGCAAAAAAAAAGAGGGGAACATCGCAAGGCAATGGACAAAAAATGGCAGAGGGTGCGTTAATTGGTTGCACGGTAAAAGAAGGTAAGGGGGGTGCGCAGCCGTGCAATCACTGACTTTTCTCTCACCAATGAGCGACATCGAGGCAAAACAACAATCGCTCTCCGACTCCACCGATTTAAAAACTCTCAGCGGCGAGCAGGCCAAAGCCAAAAATGGTAATTACAAAACACCTCACCCACTGAAATAAGGTCGAGATCATATATTGTGTTAACGTCACATTACCGGTGTCAGAGCAAGAAGAGCAACAGCATTTAATTTATCTGGCACGATTTTCACCCATCGTGGCTCCTCTTAGACAAGAGGAGAGGGTGAAGCTCTGAAATTACAATCGCTCACACCACTGCTGGCGGGAGGACCTCCACTCGAGGGCGCTCTAGACGGCCCCTCCAGCGGGTATCCTTGGCCTGCTCTTCCCCGCTGGCTCGTACGTCGTGGAAGAAAACGTGGGAGTGCCCACGCTTTACCCCACCACACGGGATCTGTGGATCGGCCAACTCCGGGGAAGCCATCGGCACCGCCGAGTGGACACGGGCGGCGGTGGGGACTTAAGAAAGTCGCGCCGTTGTTTTCAACTGCCAAGCTGGGAGACTGAAGTGAACCGGTGACCCTTGGATTTTAGGTCCAGTGGGTGCCGACCTTTGCACCACGGCAGCAGCAGCAGCAGCAGCATCATTATTATCCCGAGTCGTGCTTATCATATATGGGGTTCCGGGCGGTCTCCGCTTTTACGACGTTACAATGCGTCCCGGGAAAGCCCGTCGTAAATCGGACCCTATTTTTCCCGTTGACAGTCGAAACAGCAGGAACGTCATTTGCCGGTGCGTTTTTCCGTTTTTTCCGGCCATATTTAGCAGGGTTCAATGGCTAAAAAAAACCATTTGAGAATATTAAAAGCTCCACGGCAAGTCACATCGGAGACCAGACCGAATCTGTTCAAATGTGTTCGGGAGTCGTGTTGGCAGATGTGTAGTAAATCAAGTTTCTGCAGCTGTAAATCGATCCCTGGTGGAATTACATAAACAGATGTCTCAATAGGAGATGCCTGCACCAGCACAATGACACAAGCACAGGACAATTAATTTACCCTCTATTGACTCTCCCTCTCACACCTTCCTTTGGCTAAAGTGAACGTGGAAAGCGCCAGACAACCACTGCAATATGTAGAGTCAGACCAAGTTACCAGTCGTGTGAACTTGCTTTTTAGCTTGATAGTTAAGCTATTGCAAGAATCTTCAAAGCAATTAGGATTCCAACAATGAATAGCTGCATTGGAGGGGCGGGGGCTCAGCTGTTTCAGGGTCATTCTGTAAAATCAATAAACCAAATATGCATGTCCTTGTGAACCTATGGAATGGTGTCACTAATGGGAATGAAAATCCCTTAACATTATGCATCAAGACACCTTAATATTACCACCAACGGAATTGAAGTCATCATAATGGAATTGCTGGATAAGATTTTCGTAGAATATTTTTCTTTCTGTCTGGGCTATGCACTCAAACAGACGCATATAATATTCATAATGAGAAAGCCAATGTTTCAGAGACGCACACAAAGACAAAGATCTGTTGGGACATGCGAAGGGGTGGGTTTGCCAGCACCACGCCCCGCTGCCTTTGTCTCCCCAATGACGATGTTTACACACCGTACCAGGTACTCATTTGAGGCCGAGTCGACCACACACACACAGACAGACACACTCGGTTGTAAATGAAACACTGCCTCTTGTGAAAGCGTCGTGGAAATTGATTGCATTTTTTTTTATAAGGAAGTGAAATTTGTATTCCGAGTTACCTTTTTTTCCTCCTCTTGGCTCGAAATTTCAGTGACGGGCAACAGCTGCGTGATCGTGGAAACCAGAGCCTGCAATCACACAACAGAGACACAGGAGCACATGTTTATTCCAGCCCATCGTGCGCACAGCAGTGGAAGCAAGGGCATCGTGACATTTTTTTTTTGAAACGCTGGCAAATTTTAATGCCCCTCCAATTTGCAATTTGACTGCACATTTAGGGTCACGATTTTAAAACATTGCCCTGAGCACTCACGTCCAAATTTAATTTTAATGTTGCCGTCAATTTATCACCACACAAAGACCATTGTCTGCGTAATGGGCAAAGCCACGATTTCGGATGTACATTTGCGACACTTTAACGATGTGAGTAATCATTAGTATAATAATAAAGTGGCTTTTTCACTTGGGCATAGCATATCAACCAATTAGGACTGTAATTCAGAGATATAATTTGTCCAATTTTCTTGAGAGGAGACAAATGCTCATGGAATACCACGGTGTCACGCGCAATCATCCACTCTGCTCAGGTGGAGATGGTGCATTCAGTTTGATGTAAGCGCAAAACAATCGACTTATTCCGTATTTTACCAAAACCATAATCACCTTCCAAATAACGCCCCATATATTTGACTGATGATGTAAACTCACGACACGTGCGTCGAAAAGCGTGTATATACATCATATGCTGTTCACATCACCAAAGCAGCCAAGAGAAGCCTCCACAGTCGCCGTAGCAATGCGGCCGAGAAATAATCGATTCTGGAATGTTTCGGATCACTGAGATGGCTCACTCCGCCTCTGAATATGGGCGCCACTGTGGCGACATGTGAACTACCTCTCGCCTGGTATACAGTTTTTCACTCCACATTCAGCAACGCGCGTCTAGAGTATTTGGCTACTATAAATTTCCACGTGAAAAAGAGCTATATAGCTCAGTGGGCATTACCTAATTAAATGACAAATAGTTTTGTTTAGAATATACACTGCAAATAGACGACTTGAGACTCCAACCTGCACGATGATAGAGGGCAGCTCTTCGCTGTGTTGTTGCAAATCGTCGGCGTACATTGCAAGCACAGTCAGCATGTCGCAGCTAACCTGAGCCACAGACCTGTGAGAAAACTAAAAAAAAACGACGATACAAACACACACAAGCATCCCATTACCAGGCAACAAGAACAAAGAGCTGGACACACTATTTTAAAAACAACACTACTTTAAAAAACGTATATTACTTTTGCGGTATATTACTGGGTGGTAGGTAAAGGTACAAGCCTGCAACTACTAGCTCATGCCACTGCTGGTGTAAGCGCCTTGACAAGAGAAGGCCCCTCTTGAGATTGCATTGTTCATCAGCCTATAAACCATTCAACGATCCCACTATATTATTTCGCTCAGGGCACGCCTATCGAATTATGCACGTAAGAACTGATCAGTCCTTATTTATGAATGCGGTATGCAAATCGTAATCTAACCTTACAATTACGCGAAAGGAATAAACACAAATGGTATAATTGGGACGAAATAAACTGGAAACAATACATAAGTGGCGGTACCAACAATATTTATTTTAAAATCCAAACTTGACCTGGAATTGTCTCAATTCATAGTTTCACGAGGAGGGAGTGACTCGTCAGACGCTCAATGGAGGCGTGTCCTGAAAAATACCCAATTAGCAAATACAATTTCCGGGAAGTAGGCTTTTATTGAGAGCAGGCCGATTAAGCGGGTGAAAATGTAATTGATTAAATTTATATATTGTCTTTTATTTACCAAATTTGTTACCTATATATGTGTGTTATCAATCATTACAAGGGCATCCCTTCAATTACCAGCTCAATCAAAGTGTTACTGCAAGCCAGCTGCTTCTTGAAGATGGACCACAGCACAGGACGTTAGCCAGCATTATGTGCGACTACCTGTTGATGTACTGAAGCAGCCACTCAAGTTTCGGTTCAGTTGGAAGCTGAGAGGAAGCCCATGTTAAGTACAAAAGGGACCAGCTGTAGCTTCAGCACATGGCCCAGAATCTACTGCTTACCCAATTGCAAATCTACTCACAATTAACTGATTGAATAAGTACGTACCTTTGCGCAATATTTTTTTTACGTATAAACACTACGTTCCAGAAAAACTACATTATTTAATGAAAATAAATTCCAATTATAAGTAGCGGGGCTACGCGGTGCACAGCAGAGGGCGGTGCAGATAAGTACATCCTTGTACAATTATGCTATTTCCTCACATGATTGCTCCCAGCCTGACGAGCGTGGTGAAGTATGGTCAAATAAACCACTCCCCCAGCCCCTTAATCAGCAGCGGCAATGCGAGGCCTTCATCCAGCAGTAGATTGACAAAGCACTGTACACGTGCATAAATGATCGTTCTGTTTGTTGCCAAAACTAATTTCAATTATTTCATGCCAATGGAACAACAACACGATGTATATACCTTCAGAGTAGCACAGATGACATGGATGGCGTCCGTCACTAGTGGATGCCGTGTACAATGCACCAGCTCCTCGCATATCCAGATTCCCAAACTGCACAGCGCGATACATCTGCGAAGCGAGTACAAGCAACGGCAGGAGACGTACTTCAAATAGATCGCAACATAAAATTACAACGTGGGAGTAGTTTGAAGCTTAGGCCAAATGGACCCCTGAAGCTATTAAATTTAACGAATAAGACAATGGTTATTTTTTTAAGTAAAACTTTGTTCACTTCACACACCAAAAAAAAAGAACCGCCCCCACCACTACTCACATTAATAGAATAATCCATTAACTGAAATTGATCTGCATGGGCACTTCACTGACATCAGAAGGCATTTTGAGAATATCTTGTTTTTTTCAAATCAATACTGCCGACTGTGCACGGAAGGATGCCGGTTGTTGATAGGGCACCTGCGTTAACAAGCTACTCGATGGGCACTTGCCTGGCCGTTTCTGATGGTTCCTCTTTTGCTCCATTAAGGATGAGCTTCACGAGCTGTTCCTAATGGAAGAAGAACCCAGCAGCATTCTTAACATTTCAAAAAGCTGACAAGGCAAAATAAGTGATGGAGCAACAACAAGAAAACGACAACTGTTTCATAGATTCCACAGAAAAATGTTTAAAATGCCATCCAGTACACGACGGCAGGAGACATTACTAAGTGTGGAACTAATGTTTTAAAATATTGTTTTGTCATTTAATATCATTGCGCGGCACGTAGATATTCTCTCGCCGTCACCATTAAAAGAATAAACATTTCAGCCGAAAGACAGGGTGATATTTTCAGCTCGGACTTTAATGGACGCTTAAATTAATCTCCCAACCGCCAATCATTACTGTTAGCCTCACTACCCGGTGTTATCGCATTCCGCGGAATCTGCACACGCCGCGGCGGTTGACGCTACGCGCAGCAAGATAGGGTGGGGGGAGGTTGCCACAAAAGCTCGAACTTCGGCAATAGGCCTCTGCGACGGCGAGCTGAACGCCATCGGTGGTTGTGTCCGCCTTTAAAATTCCCCCTTCGACAGCCGCACACAGCCCTGACTTGAGCGACACACGCATCGGCGGCGTTCTCTCATCGTCGCCGGGACAACATCGTGGAACTCTCCAGAGAAGAGCGTCGTGATGGGTGGGGGGGGGGGGAACACGATCACCACGAGGACTGCAGCAATTCATGGAGAACAGCCCCAGCCTACTGGCCAGCACCTGCTCAGGGCAGCTCGGCAAGGGCAATAAATGTTGGTCCATCGGTGACGCCCACACGTCCCAACGAACGAAAATAAATAAAAGACACAGAGCTGCGAACGAAACTGAGAGTGTGAATATATATACCTTGAGGCCCTCGCAGTCGGTCGGGGTGATGTCATGGAGAGTTGGGTGGAGCGCTGGCATCTCCCCATACAGGTTGGGGAAGCACACCAGAGAGCCGAGCAGGCTTTGCGTCTCCGCCCTGGGGGCCTTGACAATCGAAAACACGGCAGGGAAATACACGTTCCTTAGTTTTAATACGTTGCGTTGTGGTGCGAATAAAAATAAAGTGTTGGAATGATGCGCCACTCCCAACCTCCGCCCGCCCCCCTCCACCAGCGTTTTGATGAATTGTCGTGATTCAAGGTCACCAACTGACTTAAAAAAAATATATTTTTAAATACTGTCGTGAATGGTAGCGCCTCTAGTGGCTTGCAGCGATCACGAGAATCCATGACAACCGACATCTGAATAAAAAAATATAAATAATTACACCACACGTGTTTCGATGCACGTTGCTTGAGCTTAAGGATGAATATTAATTGATTACTTACGCAAAATATAAGTAATCCCAACACTACACAATGTACCAGTTACTAATTTCAGGCTGAGTTGACCTATGTGAGGTGTAAGATGGGTTCAGATATCGCTTTGCCATTGATGATAGCCGTGGCCTGGAATCACACTCACGTCACTGTGTTCACAGTGCAGCGCACTTCTCACTGATCAACAACACCATGGTATGTGTGTCTTCACTGCATACTCAAGGTTGATGACTCACATTGGGTTTGAACCGAGCCTCTTAAGAGTTGCTCTTCATTGGTCATACAAAATCATCATCATCATTATCACCGCTATGTCGTGGCAAACTAGTGACATAATGGAAGGCAGGCTTCACTCTACTACCAGACGAGCAATTGGTGTCTCACAGCAAAGCGCTGCCACTTCAATTACAATAGGGAGTGCTGCAGTGCAGGTGAGGGTAATGCAGGGAGAATACAATTATTCCTGCCATCGGCAGGACATGTGTCATTCAGACGAACCTTTTTTCATTGTTTTGACACTCGAGTGTTCGTTGGGGTTCTGGGATCACAAGTTTCCCATACGGCTCGTGTTTGGTTGGGGGTGGTGCAATATCCTGTGCCGTGCCGGGCTTCATAGGTGCTCGCTAACAGCACTTGCCCCAACAGTCTGTCAAGGAGCTACAGGGGGGATCTTTGTGTTAGTCTTTGTTTGCAACGTCCTGTAGCCTAGCCACCTTAGTAGATTTCTGATGCATGCGTGCATGTATGTTGAGCTTCTTTCGCACCGAACGTGCTCATCGGAGGTGTGGGGGAAGGTCAACAAGCGGAACACCAAAAAGCAGCGATGAAACCCAGCCGATGAGAGAGGGAGGCGTTTACCTGGGAGGACTGGGAGGTCGCGATGCGGCTGGCAGCGAGCAAAAAGTCCCACAGCAGCATGGAGGAGCCCGGCAGCCCCAGGGAGAAGAAGTGCGGCGAGCAGTTCCTCATCACCACGCTCAGCACGTCCTGCGGGAGGGGCCAAAGAGAAGGCACGTCGAGTCTGGTCCACGATAGGAAAAAAATTACAGCGACGACACCATGGTCCGTCGCCACCCATCATCCGTCAGCCGTGATTCCACCCACCCAAGCCGTCGACAACTCTCGCGGTTTTGCGATTCATCAAACCCCTGTGCGCGAGAATATTAAATTATTAAAAGATGACTCAATCGCTCCTCCTTTGGCTGCCACTCCATCGTTAGTCTCGACCAACAGCCATCGGCCCTTCTAGTGACGCATTCTGCTCAAGCCCATTAGCTTTTTTTATGGCCAACGGTGTCACCCAAGTCACATATCGTCTCCACTCGATGGCTTTTAATGCACTCGTTCAGCTTTGGCTCTGTTTTTTTAAGGTCAACATCCACGCTTGTGATCCGCGTGTGCCACGGCATGTGATACGCATTGATGGAGAACATTCTCTTTTGGGACCAATTGGTGAGCTGCTTTTCACAATCTGGTTGACCCTAATGGCGGACACACGAGTTGCCGCCCAATCTAAAGCGGCGACCCACTCCGATCGCCACCAGAACAAAACTAGACTCAATGAGCAGAGGCATGAAGAAAAAAAACAGATGTTACAGCACTTACCGCGGCGCTCCGATGTATCTTCCTGCATGGAATGAGCACATTCCATGATAACGACAATGGGTGATTGCTACGTGCGAGGCACACACCTATGCTGTGCTGCTGTTCTTTTGGAAACAGAACCGCAACGCAAAACACATAGGAGAGCCGATGAAAAGAGAGACAAAAGGGGGGAGGGGGAAAGGGTAGTTGTGGGGGGTCCGCAAGGGGGGGGGGGGGGGGGGGGTGGGTTTTTGGCCAGATTTGTCCTGCCTTGGCCCAAGTCAAATCGCTTCGTATGGGGGCCGTGCTTGAGACATCGCGCATTTGAATACGTGCGCACGTATTCTTGGGGGAAGCGAATAATTGCGACAGCTGCTCTGCAAATAGCACCCGGTGCTCAGGGCTCTCTCTTGACTACTATTGTTATTTACCCGCCCCGCGTTCATGTCACGACAGTGGCCCCGCGATTCATCTCTTGCCGTCTCCGTCGTCAGCATACTTGTGCAGCGACTCATAATCTTAACCATTGTTTTTGGTCTTTGTACGTATTCGAGGGCAGCGTTTGAAATAGCAGGAAAAGGGTGGGCAAAAGAGGGCGACCTGCCTCGCTTTGTTAAGAAAACAGCCCTCGATCAAACGAGGCCTCGCGGATCTATGTCTCCGTTGTCGGCACACTGCGTTTATGGCAATAGATAATGCAAGGAGCTGCGTACGCGCATCAGTGTACAAGTCCACCGTGTGAAATTGAGGGTTCTGAAAATTCTGCACAAGGTACTGATAATTTATAGCCCTTGGGTCAATCCACTGCTGGACGAAGCCTTCCCTTTGCCGTGCCAATCACGGAAGTTGCGTTGACCAGTAAGTCGAGGAGATTTCATTTGTGTAAGCTGATGAGAACTCGCAGAGACCGGGATGAGTGTGACAAAGAGAAAACAAAGTAAAATAAAGAAATCAGTGCAAACACGACCGTGTCACATGACAGACCTAGAACATTGCACAAACATAGACAAGTGTCAAATAATAAATTCCCCGTTATTAAATAACCCATCGTATTACACAAGTGCAGGTCGGTGAAGGGCGGGGGTGGGGGACCGGGCTCGCCACCAACGTTAGCCCCTGGCCACCGCTCCGCCCCGTTTGGCAAAGGGAAACCGAACTCGCTGGCGGTGGCAGCGAGCCCTGGCAGGAACAGCTGAGGCCCCGAGCACAGTGGCGATAAATCTAAGCTTGATAAAAAAAAAGATTCTTTAAAGTGGGTAAACAGTCCCTGGTTACGTTTTGTTTAAACAGAGAAACCTTTGGCAATTGTGCAAACAGAACACGAGGCAGATAGGGGCAGCAGCGGTAAAAGCCCCCCCCCCCCCACTTGGTTCCAGCAGGTGCAAGCACGTGGCTGCCGCGCCACAGAGGCGGACGCTGCCGACCGAGAGCCATGTTGACGCATCCCTCTGAGCAGTGGCAGGCAGGGCCTCATTTTAATATTTTAGCACAGGGTCACTTTGACCCGTGCGAAAATATTTCTACACCCGGCACACCACATCCACCGCACCTCTCTCGCTGCGGACGGGATTACTCCTCGTCACGTGCCGTCTACTCCCATTCAACGGCGTGGTCCGTTTAATTTTCTAAAACGTCATATTTTTGCAGAGCAATGGGGTATGGGCATGAATAAGCAGAAGAAGAAAAATGTCAAGTGATCAATTCGTTGGCGGTCACACGACATCTGGACCACCCGGTGGTATCCGGCGACCCTGCCAATGTTGCAGTGCCCAGAACACCACATCCATTGTACCTCTGACTATGGCTACTGCTAGTCACGTGCCTACACCGAGTCTACACAGCGACCCTGACGATATGTATCTGCACCCAGCATACCACATCAAGTATGGCTCTGTGTATGCCTCTAGCGGCCTGGAACATAATGAAAGCCCCGAGTAGAGATACAATACTTTTCAAATAGCTTGTGACCCTCATGGTTGTATTGTTTTCATGAAGGTCTCTGTATGAATTTGATTGCAATCATTGAGTGAACAGAGCCTTAACCATGTCAGGAGTTTTTTTTATTCCTCGCTCTTTATCGGCTCACTTAACTGCTTGTCATGTTCAGATGTTAACGTTGATGGTCACTCACTTAAGGGAATGCCCAGTAGCCCATGAAGAGTGAACCTAAGACCACCCAGTGACCAGGGAACAATGCAGGTCAGCGGCACAAGCATTCACCACAAAGGGCTTACAGAACGGCCAACTACACAGCATTAACAGTGAGCGCAGAAATAAACGACAATCAGGCAAATAGACACGAGGAAATATATAATGCGCAGCTGCAAATGACAAATTCCTGTCAAAGTATCCGCGTTTGTTTTCCTCGACCTCTTGGCGATTTTACAGAGATGGCATATCAACATTTCTTTTCCTTTCTGAACCTCTGCTGGAAATACTTTTATTTTTGGCAGCCCAATCAGGGTATGCCACCGAACACAAAAACGGCCTTCTCTCTACAGAGGCCTCCACATAAAAAAAATACAAAGCACAGGAAGAATACAAGAGGCAGGCGAGAGCGGCCATCTGCCCAACACACCTGTTTTACATAAACCGACTCGTGCACTGCAGTGACGCCGAGACAAGGCAACCGCGTTGAATGGAAGCATCTCACCGCTAATTGAAAGGAGTCAGTGCCGAGTAATAAAATAAATAAATAAATACATGAATAACCAGAGCTCTTTATTCGGCAATAGCTCCCTTCGGTTGCGGTAATGGCAAACGGGCGAGAGAATGTGCAGCGTGGTTATCCTTTATTTGATTATTGTTATTATTATTATCACGTGCCCATTTCATTCTTTAAAACATTTTATTTGTTTGCCAGCTTTATTATTTGGCTTCGTTTATTAACCTGTTTTTTTATATTGAATATTTTTTTTTAATTCATAAGTGACTTTGTCATTGTGGATTACACAAGATTACCAGACAATTTTGGCATTGGCTATTTGGCAATGGCTATTTTTGGACATATTCATCGGGCTAATCCTCTCCAGTAAAGCCATGACTCGCAATGGCTCAAACGCAATGTTTTCTATCACTGCCAGCTGCTCAAACCCTTGTGGTCACAAAGGAGCAGTTTGGTTAAATTCATCGGTTCAGCGCCACAGCATTCTATTGCAGCTAAGAGCCGAGCTCGTGATATCAACTGCTGTGTAACGGCAGGCCATAATATATTGGAGACTGAGAATGGCAAATTAGTAATAATTATTTATTTAAATTAATTTGAACTAAATATTTGTTTATAAATACATTACATTTTTTATGTTGCACGTTTATTGTGCGTGAAGAGTTATATACAGTAACACACATTAGATATGTGCGATATGCAAGTAGAATTTCAAAGAGGAATTTGCATTCTCAGAGTTTAAATAGAGCCTCTAGCATGTGCTATGAAGAAGGGCTATTGCTCCAAAAGTGTCATCTATTATACACACACACACACACATAACTATTCCTTCTATGCCAGCAGTGTTACTTGACCAATGCGTCGAGAAAGTTGTTTTGCGCCCCGTGCACCACTGCCAGTGTAGCCTCACCGAATGATTTGTTTAATAATGGCAACGATCGAGCCCGGGGTGGGTGCGTGCGCACGCGCACACAAAGCACGGCCGATGGGAAAAGAGGAAGGGGACAATGAAAAGCGGCTTCTTCCCTTCCAACATGTTTATTGCATTTTTCATTGCCTGAATGCAACAAGTTCTGTTTTGGAATTTGCCATTTTAATTTGAAAGGGGGCTTCCCTCTGGGCCTTTTCCTCGCACTTGTTTGCTGGGTAATTTACAGTCATTAGTATCTGATCATGGCCTATACACGATTTACACAATGGAGTGGGCATGTGAAGCCAAACAAATTATTATCCCCAAGGGCGTCATCGGCCCATCAAAAGCAGCCCCCCCCCCCCTGCACAAAGCGAGCCCTTGCATCCCACGTATTCACGGCCTTATCTGTACCCTGGGAGCCCGCTCAGACATTAGATTTGTTAACGGTGGGAACGTGGAGGGCTTCGTGCCTGCGCTTCTATGGAGAAGTCAAAGGATATGCTCTGTTCCCATGATTAAACTCAACAAAGCGTGCTCACCGCTAATGCTTATCTGCATCGTACAGAGCAAACGGCGTGCTTGATACAAAATAGACTACTTTGTGAATTGGTAAAAAAAAAAGGGGCCAGGTTGATGAAATATGTTTACTATTCATTGCCTCCTATTCATTGTGTTAGCACTCCCACAATCCTCACCACCTCACCCCCACCGCCCTTCCCCGTAAGTGTTAATAGAATGGCTGAAGAAATTCCTCATAAGTGGCGTGAAAACTGCACATTGTAAACCACCTTTTGTTTTCAGCGAATTTTTTTTCCACCAAATCAATTTTTACACTGCTCTAAATGGGAAGGCAACTCAGAAAGACCTTGTATGTACATATATACAATTATAAATTGACTGTGTGCCTTGATTCACCGCTTATACACCACATTCATGTAATATATTTCCCTGTCGATAACCAGAAGCAAGTATTAGTCCCATCTTGGCAACCATAAGAAAACCTATATATAATGACAATAATATACACAATTATAATAGGTGATTCTCCGACTGTAAAAAAAAACAATGATGGTGAATCCAAACGATCTTAAACATTAAAACAATACACATGCCGAATTAATATGAGAGTTCAAATGCTTTATATGCACACACAAACACACACAGTTACCCAAGGCGGATGTTGGCACACACAGCGCCACCATCGCAATCGTATGCAATTGCACCTCGACCCACGAGTTGAATGCTGAGTGTTTGGAGTTTGTACTTGTTAGCAAGGCATTTTGCTAAAACCTTTGAAATTAAACAAACGTGTATTAGAAGACCCTTAACTAGTTTAGTCAAATATTGGCCTCTTAGAAAACACTTTGTTTTAACAAATGCAATTTGGACATAATCGAAATATTAAAAAGGTACAAAGGCAAAGGTTAAGCCCCCGCAATTGCATGTTCACACCGCAGCTGGCAGAAAGAACCTCCACTAGAGGGAGCTGTAGAGAGTCCCTCTAGAGGGCGTGTGGCCGGCTCATCCACGCTGGGCATTCATCTTGACAAAGATGGGAGTGCCCACACTTTACCTCACCACAGACGACCCACTCATCGACAAACCGCCGTGCCACCGATTGACAAACCACGGTGCCACTGATTGACAAACCGCAGTGCCACCGATTGACAAACCGCAGTGCCACCCATCGACAAACCGTGGTGCCACCGATTGACAAACCGCGGTGCCACCGATTGACAAACTGCGGTGCCACCCATCGACAAACCGCAGTGCCACCGATTGACAAACCGCAGTGCCACCCATCGACAACCTTAGTGCCACCCATCGACAAACCGTGGTGCCACCGATTGACAAACCGCAGTGCCACCGATCGACAAACCGTGGTGCCACCGATTGACAAACCGCGGTGCCACCCATCGACAAACCGTGGTGCCACCGATTGACAAACCGCAGTGCCACCGATCGACAAACCGCAGTGCCACCGATTGACAAACCGCAGTGCCACCGATTGACAAACCGCGGTGCCACCAACTGACAAATCGTGGTGCCACCGATTTCTACTGCTAGGTGACCAGAGGCGGTGGGGAGATTTTAGAAATATGCACCATTGTTTCAAGTGCCTCACCGGGAGACTGAACCCACGACCTCTGTATCTCAAATCTCGTGCGCCATTCGTCGCTGCACCACGGCAGCACCCCAGCTACAAATAACACGAAGAGAATTCAGGTTTCCCTCACTTTACGCGGTAGCAAGTACAGTACATGCATAGTGCACTCATGGTACACACAGTACACACACAATGTTGTTCCACGTCCGACCGCATAGCCGCATACGAGTGAATTCAAGCCGCACAGATATCTCGACTTTGTTGGTAGAAATAGGTTGGCCGCACGTCCACGAACTCGCACAAAGCAAACCCGCACACAGCGAGGGAAGCCGGTGCCGAATGGCCAAATAGTAGCGAGCGCCGAAACTTTACCGCGCACGCACTTGCGCGTGAGCACAAACGTCGAGGGGCACTCTTCCGTCGCACTCCTCGCGGAGCGGGAGGCAACATCTCGTTAACGGTGGACATTGCTACGCGCATGGATTTTTGCTTCACGAGGACACTCCAGCACGTCATTAACACAAAGTCATCTGAGGCTATCCTCTGATGAGAGGGAAGGCAGCAATAACGTGGCGGATGAGCGACACCGTCTGCGCGGGAGCACGTGTAACGATCGCAAGCATTCGTAAACAGCCGGAGGCGTGTGGAATTTCCACTTCATCAATTTAACAAATTAATAAATAACACACGCTTGCCCGGTATTCCTTTCGCCTCTACATCTAAGAGTAAATAATAGTCTAAGACCAAGGGTGCATATCTACTTCCGGAAATGAGAGGCAATGGCAAAAACAGCGGTCGGCAAAACTGCACTACAGCCTAGGTTCCCGGAGGTTTCATTCCCGGCCATGTATATCAGCGGCAGGAGGCATCTGAACTTGCTCTGGGCCCCCCTGTCGATTCATGGAACATTACATTACCACATGGTGCTGTGTGGCTGTAGACGTCAGTACTGGGGTGACAAAGGCAGCTGGGCATGGTGCTGACCACGAGACATGCAATGCTTTTTCCTCATCACGACTGAATGAAATGTCACAATTGGGGGTCACGACTGTAGCGCCCCTAGTGGCTGCACGGGTCAGGTGAATCGATCACATTGAAACACGTGAGCACGATTCGATGCACGTCAAGAGCGTACCGTGAGCATAAGAATGTATTGAACACGATAAGTAGAAATATCATCGCATGCCTCCTGCCTACGCTGCAACCTCAGTGATCGTGTTAACCTTACTAAGTATTAACTTACCAGCCATATGGGTAATAATACCCAAACAAATGTGGTGAAAAAATACTGTGCCAAAGTGTAGTTTGAGAATAATGTATGGCAGGAATGCTTTAAATTGGGGGAAAATTTAGACGTGGCCGGGTGGGTTGTATGTATATATGTATGTATGTTGAACTTCTTTCGCAACGTAAGTAGCCAAATGTGCTAATCGGAGGTGCGGCTGCCTGTGATTAAACAGGCTTCTAAAGTGTAGAGAGCTGGTCTCAGCCCAGTCACCAATGACCGCACACAAAAATAAATCACAGAATTTGATTCCACGCTGAATTTAGCTAAATTCCTGCTCTGAGAATGAAAGATATCAGGATGACTTCATTGCTCTGCTTCCCCCTCCTGTGTGAAACAAAGGTCTCAGAGGCAGCTCTGTGATAGCCACTTTCATGCGGCCGTTTACTCGCGCAATTCGACGCGATACACTCCACCGCTCTGCAAGATATCCCAGCGGATCCTTAGTCACATGGCGTGACACCGATATAACAATCGGGATAAGCTTGGGGGGAAGAGACAACATTTATCAAGTGCATACCAAGAAACGGGGTTCATACAAGGCGAGACGCACAAGTCACTCACACCACCATCACCACCACTCAATATTAACACCGCGTCTCCTAAGTGGTGCACGCCTCGAGGTGCCGTGCGGAAAGGGGCACCACCCCCCCCCCCACCGCCACCCTCCGATGGCAACCGTCCCAGTGAGGCACGTGGTGAGCACGGCAGCGGACAGCTCACCTGGTCGGAGCTGAGCAGTGCGGAGTGGATGACGGCATAAAAGTGGACCAGAAAGTCGGTGCTAGGGTGCAGCTCCTGCCGCCGCATCATGATCTTACAGATCAGTCTGTAGGCGTGCAGCTTGCCCTGCTTGTACTGATCGGGCAGCGTCGTGGCCTGATTAAAAAAAAAAAGAGCACCGTTTTGCAGGTTTTTTTTCTCTCTCTCTCTCTCGCAATGCACAACCGAACAGCGCCGGGACCGTGCCGAGCCAGCCCGGCGTGAGTCGGGAGTCGCCCGGTTGATTTTTGTTCATGCCGCCGAAGCAGAGCCGTGCCGCTGACGTTGCGCACGATGGACGAGTTGAGACGCGGGTAGACGTACGCATTTTGAACTTCTTTCTGCGCCGTACGTAGCCGACCATGCCAATCGGAGGTACGGCGGAAGGACAACAAACCAAACACAAAAAGCAGTCCTGAAGAATTGGGTTTTCAATCTCGAAGAAATTAGTTTACAATCTAGACGACGAGGTGACTCTGTGTCCCCCGGGTACTCACTGACATCACTAGGAAATGAAATTGGAATTAACGCCGCCGCTCGCTCTGCTCAATTCTCATTGCAGAATTGGCGTCCCAACTGCCCCTATAGTTTAGGGGGCTGATGATGATGATGGTGATGACTATGTCCACAGGGCCGGGACATTCTGTGCAAGATTGACCAGCGCTGTTACAGAACAATTGTTGCTTTGTGTTACGAGAACCAATGCAAAACGTATTAATCATAATCACGCAGTGCTTTAAAATATAATGCGACATTCAGCGATTAAAATGAGTGGTCAAAATGGCTATATGAACACATTATTGGCTGCAATAAGTGTTTCGAGTGGACTGAATGTGAAGCATGTACTGTATATATTCTAAGTGTCTGTTGACTCTAACATAATTATATTACGCGCCACTTTCACATATAATGCGATAGCGAACAAAGCAAAACTCGCTCCTTAACATTTAGAACCTTCAACGTTATCTCGGAACCCTGGCAGGGCAACAGGTAACCAACAAAACATTTCAAAGGGCACATTAAACCAGCAGTCTAGAACATTCACTCACACACACGCGCGCACACATTGGCATGGATACAAGGTGTGATATTCCTCGCCTAAAGGTGGACTGTACTGAATAGGCAACATCGAAACTGAATAGGCAATATCTAAATTGCACCATGTACCGTTCACACGTATTTTACACCAGAAAGGTAACCTTAGACCATAAACACACACGCACGCACACGCATGGCAGCTGTGACACACTATCAGGTCCCATCTCTGAAGAACAAGGCTCTGGCATACAATTACATAGGGAAGGTACACACTGGGGGTCTGTCAAAAAAAAAATTGTCTTTCCAGCCTGGAAATCGCTGCCATTTAGGCCGAGTAATTAGATTGTGTGTGTGTGCTGGCTGTTGCCTGCGTCCGTAGCCCCCCATATTGGCTTACAGCAGCTGGCTTCTGAGTCACAGCGAGGGCCTGCTGGGCTTGCCAGCACCAGCTACCGCGTTTATCGAATCTTAATTAGCGTTAGTTGGAAAGGCTGCAGCTGCGCGGGCCGCGCTGACCTTTTACCCCCCCCCCCCGCCACCATGTAAATAAAAATAAAACAAATGACTGCCCTAAAAAGGTAAAGAAGGGTTAAAGGTGCAGCCCTGCAATTCGGCGCTCGCGCCACTGCTGCCGGAAGGGACCTCCGCTAGGTGGGAGTCTCTGGAGATGCCCCCACCAAGAAGGCGTCTTTGGCCTGCTCAGAATTGGCGCGGTTGGCTAGGTACGGTGCGAAAGCAGTTCAACATAAGTACGAGCTGGCCATGCGTTCTGGAAGAGGTGAGTGTACCCACTCTTTCTACCCTACCACACGTTGCATGCCGATCGACTGACCGCAGTGTACCTATTTATACCGCTAGGTTGGCAGAGGTGGTGGGGGAGGGCGATTTCAGAAATGTGTTCCCATTGTTTCAAACAAATGCAAAACACATTATAGCCCATTTAAACTAAAAAAAACTGAATAACATTTTATTTACTTCTGATTTCCTTGCATGCGGAATTTCTAGACCCCAAAAAAATACACGGTGCTAATTTCACACGCCAACAAAGAACACAGGCACGAGGCACATTTATAGCAATTACCTTGGCTCACTTGTGCTAATTCAATACGCAGGTCTCAACAAGCGTAAACATGGCCTTGTTGTATAAAAACGCCACCACCAGGGATTCTATGGGAAATGGAAATCTATTGCTTGTAAAATATAAATTAATATATCCCCTCAAGGCAGCCACTGGTGACGAGTCCTAGAAGCAATCTTATCGAGTCACCCAATTGAACGCAGGCTGGTGTCCGCGTCGCCTGGCGTGATAATGTACCACTCGGGGGCCCCACATGACGACTGCCGTGCGGGCGAGAGACACGCACGCCGGAGCTCTCTATACCTTGAAGAGCCACGGGGTGAGGATCGTTAAAGGAGGGATCAGATCCGGAGGTTCTGGCGTACACTGGTTGTCCAGGCTTATCCCCAGATTGTCGCGTATCTGCGCGAAAAACACATTTTACACGCACAACTTATTCACCATCGTCGTCATCGTTATTCATACGTAAGCATTTCCACGCGCCACTTGTGGCCTAGAAAGACAATTTTCACAGCTCGACACGAAGATTTAGGAATGGGTTCTATGTTGTATCTTATATAGATTAATGTAGCCCCTTATTCCAAAGCTTTTTACAACAATTATAAAATTGCAGATAAGATGATATCGATTGAGATAAAGAGTGAGGTTATTTCAAGGGGTGGCGTAGTTATGGTGATAGCTAGGGGAAGAGGTGGGAGAGGTTAAGGAGGGGTAGGGTTAGTGATAGGGATATGGGTTGGGGTAGGCCTGGTCGCAGCTGGGGGGCGTGGGCTGGGAGCAGCAGTAGCAGGATATGCTCGGAAGAAAATATGGATTTTAAGGGATGAACGAAAGCAGGTTAGTGAAGGTGATGGTTTTGAGTGCTGCAGTGGGAGTTGGTTCCAGCGAAGAGGAGCAAGAAGAGAAAAGGAAAGAGAGGGTGATTAGACGCAGGGTGAGGGGAGGCAAAGAGAGGGACGGTAGAGATTTGGAGCGTAGAGGACAGGATGGGACAGAGTAATAAGATATGAAAGCAGCAAAATAAGGTGAGCCAGGACCATGGAGAGATTTATATGGCTTTGCAACTGGCAGACAGTGACTTAAACCCAGAAGATAAGATATTTGACATTAACAAACGTTGTCAGTTTGTCACGAAATAAGAGATAATAATTTACACCTCTGTATCACTCCACTTCTGGACGAAGGCCTCCCGACACTGCTTTGGTCATGGGGGTTATTTGACCATACTTCACCACGCTGGTCAGTGCGGGTTGGTTGAAGAGTTTGCCAGGGTGGCGCTTTGGGTGGCAGATTTGTGGCAGAAAGGCGCCTCACGTGTTAATAAAAAAATAGACTTGACATGTATGTATGTTGAACTTCTTTCGCGGCGTACGTAGCCGACCGTGCTAATCGGAGGTTGCGACACAGTGAAGTACACAAAACCACTGCTCAACCCCACCCAAGTTTGTGGGTTATAAATAATTTCACTTAGTTTTTAGGTGAATAAAACATTTTCCCCCCAAAAAACCTGCACATTTCAAGAACATAAGAGGTATGGGACTTCAGCAACAAATGTTATTCTTTTTCAATAATTAATTAGCTTCGTTTGTAAAACCACAAAACTACTGACCGATTTTGCAGTATATGTGTAACAGTAATATGTAATATGCAATTTTGCCAGATGTGGATGATACGATCGAGAGTAAACGGATTCACTTTCTGGAAAAACTGGATTCTTCTCTATTGCTGGGGTAGTTAGGCATCAACGCTACAATTATTTTCCCCTTGCAATTCGATGATTTTCATTATTTGGGGTCACGATTCGATTTGAGAATCTCTTTATTTATACTGGAGTAAAATGTGGACACCTCCAGTGACTGCAGAAATCATGTGAACCGACGGCACAATGTACATGAAAATAATATATTTTTTCACAAAATGATTTGATGAATTAATTTTGAGCCTAAGAATCAATATTATTATTTTCTATTGTTGGCATTCGCCATCATGTCACGAAACGAGCAGTATCAACTCCGCCGGGTTAGAGAATGGCTCGCGGAAGTGGGTATCACAGAGCTACCTGCGAGTACCTCTAACGTTGACGTCTGGTCCACACGATAGCGAGCAAAACTTTCCCACCCACTTGGCCCATAGGAGAGCAAGGTTTGTCGCGTGACATTCAAGCCAGTAATTTAATTCTCAGAGCTGGAATTTCGATGAATTAAGTGCAGGACCGAATTGATTTTGACGCGTGTGTTTTTTGTTGTTGTGTGCAATCAATGGTGACGAGGGCTGTGACCATCAAGTCGCTTCACTTGAGAATTGATGGTCTCAGCCTGGCAATCAATGACTTGCCCGTGAAAATCACCGCACCAAAGTTTGTTGTGCACTTTGCTCAACATCGCTAGGTACCCAGCGCCTCTAGTGACTGCAGGCGACGATCACGTGAACCGATCATGCACAGCATATTCCAACGGAAGAAAATCATCGATGCTTACGCGCAATTCGATGGGTGTGTCGCGAACGCGGCAATCGTTCGTAATCGCGAAGAGCCGACGCGTCGCTACGTGCCTTGGCCAGCGAGTCCCAGAGCTCGCACAGGTAGTCGAGCACCTGGGCGTGGATATCGGGGTCGGGAATGGCGTTGATGTCTCCCAGGGCACCCAGCATGCGCCGCCACAGGACGGTGGCGACGTCAGCATGCCAGCCCGTCATGGTGCCTCCCGCGATGACGCTGCAGTCTTCCAGCTCGCTGTCGTCTGCCGCGCGCGAGCGAGTCAAGACGGACGCACAGATACAGGGAAAGACTAAAATCAAACGCGTAAACATAAATGTGTCGTTAAACCACCACCACCACCACCACCCGAAAGACAATTAGTAAGGTTAGTCACGTAAGCAAAACGTGCCAATGGGTTATTACTTCAGCACACCGGCGCATTGGAGATTAAACTTACAACAGTCAAAACTGAGTATGATATTTCGCTGGTGATTAGAACCAGCTTCATCGGGCGATTTGCCAGAATTTGCCACAATTTAATAATATTGGTCACGAAAGTCTACATGTTAAACAAAAAATTAACTACTTTTCATTTAACCAGGTAAGGCCCACTGAGCTACAGGAGATAGCTCTTTTTTTCAGAAGCAACTTGAAAACAAATGATAGCTCGAAAGAGCGGCTACACCGCGTGGAAATGAATTGCAGCCAAATGCCCTCAAGGTGTTGTGCCGCACGATGCGCCGGGTGCTCTTCGGCACGACGTCCGACGTTTCGCTCAAACCGTTTCGCACGGCGTTCCTCGGCTCGTGGAAGCGGCCTTCCCGGCACGCGGTACGTGCGGCGAAAAAACTGTCGGACATCGGGGACCGAGTGCCGGCGTCGCTCTCGCGCATGTGCGACGCATGCCTACCCAGTTCTCCGTTGAGCTGCAGGACGGAATTGTGGAGCCCCTCGTCCAGAGCAGGGGGAGAGTCCTTGGATTCGCAGGGCTCCGTGTCGGGGGAGGGCGACGGTGTGTGCGACCGTGAGCACGAGCCCGAGTTAGTCAGCGACGTGCTCTCAGAGCCTGCGAGACAAACCACGTCACATCTATGGGGACCTTTTTTGCCAGTGTCCAAAATTATGAAAAATAGGAATAGGCTTTAAACTTTCTGGCAATAAAACAGGAGGTGTTAAGATGTTCAAACACCAAATGGATACCTTTTGCAAGGCATCAAGTCTGGATTAACCACAGGTACTTGTGGGCAAAACATGCAAGAAAACATTCTCTGATAATATATGCAATGTCTTTGAAACTGATTGGACTACACCAGAGACCGCCGTCTTTATGGCATTGAGACGAGTTTCAAAGACAGCGCAAATATTATCAGAGCATGTTTTCTTGCATTTATTACCACAAGTACATGTGTGTGGTTAATATAGTCTTGACGCCTTGCAAAAGGTTTCTATTTGGCGTTTGAACATCTTACAACCTGTTTTATTGGAAGAAAGGGTAAAACCGCGTCACCTTGGGGAAGTCCTTCCTCAAAAGTAAAGTTGGAGCCTGCAGTCGCCTTGTTTGTGCTCACTGTCAGTGGTGGTCGGGCCTTCTCCACACGAGGGAGCTTTCGAGAGTCGCCTCCCCCCCATCCCCCTCCCGTCTCCCCAGAAGGAGTTTGGCCTCCTCTTCCACGCTAGACAGGCATTTTGCAAGGTTTGGGATGTGCTGACACTCTTTACCTAACCGGGTAAAAGTCACGGAGCACCATCGCCCCTCTCTGTAAAACTACGGAAGACGGTAATCGTCTCTGAAACGTAGCGCCTTCTTGGCAGGCTTGCGCTAGAAGAATGGCGCGGACACCACATGTACATGTTTTGAAATTAATTGAAGTAACAATATGAATCGAAGAATCAATGCATCGGTCCTCCCCTAGGTTTTTCAGAGATACCAGGTTGGAGCACCCAACGATGGTGAAGATGAGGTGAGCATGCCCAACGATGATGATGATGATGATGGAGGCCGGCATACCCGTGAAGGCCACAGCCTCAGCTGGGTTATGCTGGCCCAGGCTGCTCGTTTCTGAGTCGATGTTCATGGTGTTCAGGCTGGCTCTGTCCTCCTCCAGGCCATCCCCAGCACAGGACACTTCAAGGGGAGAGCCATCACCTGCAAAGCTGTAATCTGGATCATAGGGAGAAAATAAACAGACATCAAATTGGCACCAAAAATACTGCATACATATCAATCAATTGACCTTCTTTCATATCTACAGTGTGCTTCACGTCATTGAAAGATGTCTCAGAGTGAGAAACCCATAAATTACCAAGAGACCCACAGACTCTAAAAGACCCAGGAACTCAAAAACAGATACCTGTGGACTTCAGCAGAGAGCGATGTAACAGCACCGCGCGTGAATATTGTCTGCATAGTCGCATGCTATATTTAGTTTAGCTGCCTAGATGACATATTCAACTCTTTTTTTTTATAGGTGCTACGCAGTAAGAGTTGAACGTGCCTATAATACATTAATTGCTGTGACAGATGCAAGTAGGTTATCTCCACAATGGTGCTCCTGTTGCATTCAGGAAAAAAAAAAGAATCGACCTTCATCTCTTGAGAAGTGCTGAAGTGTCAGAGTGTCATGTTGACTTTGTTCATCATCATCGGCAGCAGCAATGGCCCAATCCACTACTGGATGGTCTCCCCAATCCTCCACCATCTCTCATGACCTTGCGATGTAATAATAATAATAATGATCATCCACCGAGTACCTGCACACTATCTGATTCCATCACGTGCGCTCCGTTCCTCGGCTGCGACTCTCTCCCTTATTCTTGACCATCTGCTGTCGCGACACGTCCTGCCCAAGCCCACTTCCTCTTCTCAAGAGTCTAAATTCCGTCATTAGCCTCCGTACGTTCCGCAATCGATGTGTCCGCGTGCACTTCCTTCTGTCTCCAGGTGTGATACGTAAGCACGCATCTTTGCATGCCTCTTTTGGCCACTCCTCAGAATTTATGTTTCTGTCCGCCATTGTCAATGCCATATTTCTGAACGATGCGTGCCCTTTTATGTCATATATAGTTCAGTAATATGATGATTTTCACACGCTGTTATGTTATATGCCAGTAACATTACGTACGGTGCGAAAGAAGTTCAACATTCATACATTAAGGGAGTAAAAAAGGCTGGCTCACCAGTGATTTATATTCAACAACATACAGTTAAGCACAACCACGGTTCACCTTTTGTCGCTTATAATAATAATAAATCGTAGTTATATTGCATCCCAATACCAGATGTACAATAACACGTGTGTGTGTGTCAAATAACACGTGGGAAACATCAAATAAATCGTACAATCTCACTACGGTGACCAAGTACACAAAGGATTAAAGAGTGAAATGAAATTGGGTTAAATTAGGATAAAAAGTAGAAAACGAAAGGCCCCATTCGCACAGCCACATAATGCTTATCCCACAAGGGGGAACCTACTTAACATTTACCGACGATGTATGTACGACGTTAAACTTCTCTCACACCGTACGTAGCCAACCGTGCTAATGGAAGGTGCGATCGCACGCAACCACCCCAAGTCCTGCGACGCGGACGAACACTCAGTGGCTGGCAGAGGGAAACGAAGGAGTTCTTTAGTCTGGGCTTTAAACAAAGAGAGGAGGGGGAGCGGCGGGGGGGGGGGGTGTGAACAGCACCCCCATACAAAACGCGGTCGAGGTGTGAAGCACCTTTCGTAGGGAACTGGATGAGGTGGTCAGCAGGCAGCGCATCGGAGACGGCGTGTTCTCCCTCTTCGAAGAACGAGTGGCGGTCGTACTGTGGCGGGTAGCCCGCCGCCCTCAACGCTGCCCCTTCCACGTGCCCATCCCCCGTCTCCGCAGCGGCAGCGGCACCAGCAGCAGCGGCGGGCGATCGCGAGGGGCTGGCTTCACTCGGCTTCCCCTGCGCGCGCACGAGCCGACGGATGAGTTGAGGACACACGGCGGCGGAGCGCGGTGAGCCGTACGCGTATATCTCGCTATGCCAACGACGTAAGCTGCGGCTGGGAATTGAACCCGGGTGGCAGAGTTCACACGACGAATGGGCAACCCACTGTGCCACAGTTCCCCCCCACTCGCATATGTATGTGGAAGGAATTCGGCAAAACTCTTGACAGACGATTCCTGAGACCCATCGAGGCTCTCCCGGGTAAACGCCTTGTTCAGTGGCTTTTGGGTAGCCATCGAACAAGGACGGGCACCGCATCGCGCGCTTTCGGACGTGCTTCCGGAGCCGTCTGGAACGCTCTTCCTTCTGATATTAGGATGCCACTGGAGCTGTGCACTTTCAAATCTAGATTCAAAACTAATTTCTTTAGAACTGCTTTTGTTTTTAGTTTGCTGCCCTTCCCTCGCACCTCCGATTAGCACGGTCGGAAACATATGGTGTGAAGGAAGTTCAACATGCACACAGACATACAACGTGATAAGTCGTAAATGTTGCGAGGGGAAACGATGGGGTGCCACAAATTGGCGATCGTACTATTGCTATATAATAAATAAAAATACACAGAGTTACCGAGCACAGGCCCAAAGGCGCCAAGACGTCAAACGGCCAACATCAAACAGATAGAGCGTTAAATTTTGATTTAAAGCTTTCGTGACTGCAGGGATTCACATAAGATAGAGCGTTGACACGTTTCTAAAACTGGGACACGTGGTCATAAAAGCTGAGGGGGGTGGGGGCAATCGATGGGAGGGAATTTGAGAGTGGAGAAATGCCGGACGGTGGTGGTGCACGTGGCCTATAATCCAGCACTCTGTTGAGGCAGCGAGGGTCGGTGGATCACACGCACACAGGATGTTGGTAAACTCCCTTGCCGTGGGCGTCGAGGTAGAATATCCTGGCCACCAGGAGATGGCAATACAGCAAAGCATGGACTCGTATAATCTGTCCCTTCTGTATGGGATGAAGTGTATCCCCCCCCCCCCCCCCCCCCCCCCCCTTAGCATGCTTGTGTTTTCTCCGGGCTCTCTGGTTTCCTCTAAAATTCATTGGCAGATTTCTTTTTTTTTTACATGTAGAGGAACGCAGAGCTTGGAAAATTGTTATGGGCAGCTCATCACTTGACTACCTTTCAGCTTGTCTTAGTTTCTCCAGTGATTGTGAGATGCAATTTGCATGAACAACGCTATAGAGATATAAAAATACTAAACGTTATTACGTTTATGATTACAGTGTGATGGTTGAACGGCATGGTGAGAGAAAATGGTCAGTCTGCTCGACCGAGTCCTCAACATGGGTGGAGGAACCAAGGAGTAAGGTTCACAGGAAGAGTGAGACATCATCGCTGTCATAGTTCACGTCATAGTTTAATACAATTTTACTGCAACTGCAAGTATGTCCTTTATCAGCAGGATAGATTTCCAAGTGGCAATGCTTAAAATATGTACGACTCGATTTGCGTTGAGCGGACCGCAGTTTCGACGAACTTTTAAACAATCTTTACGTGTACTGAAAGTACAGCAAAGCGCAAACACGATACAGTGGCCAGTTCGAAGATCGCCAACCACTGACATTCACCATGGCTGGGAATAGAATTTAGAACGGTAGGTGGCGGGGGCGAGAGAGGTGGGGGGGGTGGTCGCGCAGCGCAGTGCGGGAAAAAACTCGCCGCACCCACCAGTTTTGGCAAAACATCCCAGCATTTGGTGGGGGGGGGGGGTGAAAATTAAAATGGTGATGAACCCCCTTCAGGATGAGAACATTCTCCTCCTCCGTTGGCTCACCTCGTGGTGGCAGTCCAAGAGGCTCTTTGTCTCCAACTCGCGGGCCCTGCCCGCCTCCCGTCCGCTGGGACTCTCGGCACTCCGTGAGCGCGAATGAGAATGCTTCTCCTCCTGCTGGGCTGGGAACAGCATCGCACGCCTCTCAGCGTCGCATGCCTCTCCCCGCAGCCACAGCGGAGCCTCTCGGCATTGCGCGGCCACTGCGCGTGGCTCGGGAGAGCGTGCGCCGGTGTGACCCATTCAATTATTAAAAGCTCGGCTTGAGCTCAGCTGTTACCCCCATTGTTTTGCATTTTAAGGATTTAGAATGCCCCATTGTTCCACTTTTCATCTTGCGGCGGCGGTGCTATATTGGGACCTAGAAAGAGCGCAGGCAGCATGCCAGGAAAACTGCTTGCGTCACAGATAATCGGCAAGAGGGCAAAATGTGCCGCCACTTCCCTTGCCCCCCCCCCCACCCACCTTATGTGTCTTTGGGAATAAAAAACAGCACAGTGAGGGAAAAAAGTATTTGATCCCCTGCTGATTTTGTACGTTTGCCCACTGACAAAGAAATGATCAGTCTATAATTTTAATGGTAGGTGTATTTGAACAATGAGAAACAGAATAACAACAACAAAATCCAGAAAAACGAATGTCAAAAATGTTATAAATTGATTTGCATTTTAATGAGGCAAATAAGTATTTGACCCCTCTGCAAAACATGACTTAGAACTTGGTGGCAAAACCCTTGTTGGCAATCACAGAGGTCAAACGTTTCTTGTAGTTGGCCACCAGGTTTGCACACATCTCAGGAGGGATTTTGTCCCACTCCTCTTTGCAGATCTTCTCCAAGTCATTAAAGTTTCGAGGCTGACGTTTGGCAACTCGAACCTTCAGCTCCCTCCACAGATTTTCTATGGGATTAAGGTCTGGAGACTGGCTAGGCCACTCCAGGACCTTAATGTGCTTCTTCTTTAGCCACTCCTTTGTTGCCTTGGCCGTGTGTTTTGGGTCATTGTCATGCTGGAATACCCATCCACGACCCATTTTCAATGCCCTGGCTGAGGGAAGGAGGTTCTCACCCAAGATTTGATGGTACATGGCCCCGTCCATCGTCCCTTTGATGCGGTGAAGTTGTCTTGTCCCCTTAGCAGAAAAACACCCCTAAAGCATGTTTCCACCTCCATGTTTAACGGTGGGGATGGTGTTCTTGGGGTCAGAGACAGCATTCCTCCTCCTCCAAACACGGCGAGTTGAGTTGATGCCAAAGAGCTCCATTTTGGTCTCATCCAACCACAACACTTTCACCCAGTTGTCCTCTGAATCATTCAGATGTTCATTGGCAAACTTCAGACGGGCATGTATATGTGCTTTCTTGAGCAGGGGGACCTTGCGGGCGCTGCAGGATTTCAGTTCTTCACGGCGTAGTGTGTTACCAATTGTTTTCTTGGTGACTATGGTCCCAGCTGCCTTGAGATCATTGACAAGATCCTCCCGTGTAGTTCTGGGCTGATTCCTCACCGTTCTCATGATCATTGCAACTCCACGAGGTGAGATCTTGCATGGAGCCCCAGGCCGAGGGAGATTGACAGTTCTTTTGTGTTTCTTCCATTTGCGAATAATCGCACCAACTGTTGTCACCTTCTCACCAAGCTGCTTGGCAATGGTCTTGTAGCCCATTCCAGCCTTGTGTAGGTCTACAATCTTGTCCCTGACATCCTTGGAGAGCTCTTTGGTCTTGGCCATGGTGGAGAGTTTGGAATCTGATTGATTGATTACTTCTGTGGACAGGTGTCTTTTATACAGGTAACAAGCTGAGATTAGGAGCGCTCCCTTTAAGAGTATTCTCCTAATCTCAGCTCGTTACCTGTATAAAAGACACCTGGGAGCCAGAAATCTTTCTGATTGAGAGGGGGTCAAATACTTATTTCCCTTATTAAAATACAAATCAATTTATACAATTTTTGACATGCGTTTTTCTGGATTTTGTTGTTGTTATTCTGTCTCTCACTGTTCAAATAAACCTACCATTAAAATTATATATTGATAATTTCTTTGTCCGTGGGCAAACATACAAAACCAGCAGGGGATCAAATACTTTTTTCCCTCACTGTATGTGCAGTAGTAGAACAAGCAACAGATAAAATGTAATTTTATTTACGATTATTATTGTACCGTGCAAAGTAATGCAATCTAAAGTTATTGTACTCTCAAACTCTCATTCCAAAATCAACAACCGTTGTGAATGTAGAGGAAACGCACACCTATTATATATCCACACTCGTTGATTTAAGTGTCCAACATCGCCAAACAAAGCTGTGTACGTTAGGCCTGAACACTTGCACTGCAGGCATGTGATGAAATGAATAGAAGACGTTATTTTGTACAGATCAAATGGCATGTGATGTAGTTTTCTCAGTGAAAACCAACCACCGAGGCAGACCAGATTTTTTTGCGAGATTTATTGTAATTGTCCAAAAAATGGCATTGTCCAGAGAACAATGTGACATAATGACTAAAATGTAAATTTTCCAGAAAACAGTGGAGTTTGGTAATGAATAATAAAAAATACCAAAATATCTCCAAGGAACCTGTGGCAACATGAAAACTGGCTCAGTGACAAATCAGGGTGACCACTTTGATTACGAGCCTACATCCTAAACCTTAAAGGCAATGATTTCCCATTTCGTTTATAGACTGCTGGGGCAAGTGCTGTTAGTGTCCACCCATTCAAGCTGCCATAGTGCACCAGAGGGTGGCATGGCCAGCACCACGCCAGCCCGCATTTATCTTGCCAGGAGGCCCAGGATCGGTTCAGATAATCGTCACTGGTATTGACCATGAGTGGGAATTGAACCCGGGTCACTTGGTTCGGAGTGGAGCGCTAGCCGCTGCACTACCGCTCACCACACGCACACACACGCACAACAATAAACGTTGTTCACCACTATGTGGTGGTAACGTCACCACGGCACTTGTGCCATGCGAGGCGCACTCCGAGGCCACGTCAAGTGTCGAAGGCCCCGCTGGCAGGAGGTTACGGGACATAACCAGGTGCCATGAGTTGACTGACTGGCATGACAGGCAGATGCACAAACTGGCGTGGCCCCCGGATACCTGTGCTGTGCGCCTGCATGGCGATGTTGATGGCGCTGCTGCTGCGGACGAGCGAGTTCTCCTGCACGGTGCCCAGCTGCCCGGCGAGGCGGTCCTCGCCCTGCGAGTGGTGGCGTGCGCGCGTGCTGGTTCCGGGAGACTCCATCTCCGGCACGTCTGCAGGGGGAAACCGATCCATCACAGCCGGGATGAGTGACTTCATTTGGAGGAAAACAAACAAAAAAACATGGCAACTTCCATCCCCTACTGGCGGACCGAAGCCCATTTTGCAGGACTGTGCCACGTACACCTTGTTCTGCACAGGGACAGCTGCCGCTGGGGGGGTGCACACCTTGCCTAGACTGAAGCAAGGCATTGAAACTGTTGAGATGATCGTGACGGAGGGCGTTTTGAGTTGCTGAGACAATTAAAGCAGCATCATAAACCTGAAAATCTTTACTCACACTGTACCGTGTACACGTACAAGCCCGTGTACACGTATGGGTTTCCTTATGGAGCGCGAGTCGTGGGGGTTAATTTGACTAAACTTCACCACGCTGGTTAGTGTGGGTTGGAAGAAGAGAGCAGGTATGGGGGAGCATAGAAGCGCAGCACGACATTTTGTTTTGTTGCACCACCCTCTGCTGAGAGCAACGTAGCCCCGTCGCCTGTTTCACCCTTTAATACAAGGTGGTTGCTCGTCCATGCAACTATGCAGGCTGCTTGTCTCCCGGGATCTGACGAGATCTGGTGCATTCTGGGTGATAAGCTCATAGGCTCCTATACATTATGCAGCCACGGTTAACCCAGCTACTTAAACAATGCAGATGTATTTTAATTGCGAGCTCCATGTATTGATGCACCCATTTCGGTTAGAGGGGTGTGGATGATATTACATTACAAAGTAAAGTTTTTTTTAATACATAAAACAAATGTGACCATGGTGCCAATAAAACAGGGGTTAAGATATTCAAAGACCGAATAGACACCTATTACAAGGGTTTCTTTTTGATAATGGCAAAAAGGGGTCCCATAGATATAGCCGTGGTGCCCTCTGCTGGGTAAATATATCACGCAAAACCAGTGAATGCATTATTATAGAGGTGGAAGGATGATGCATCGATTAATTGATTCATATGAATTCTTAATCTCACAATATATGCATCTAATTGTGTGTGTGTAAGAATCGGTGTTTTCAACCCCGACATGTTGTACGTAATGAGTCACGTAACCCCTGCAGCCACAAGAGGCACTACCATTCAGTGGCGGCGGCGGCAACACACTGCAGAACCTTAGCAGAATTAGTTTCTAACTGTGTCACATGACCATGAACATTGGATGCTAAATAACATAGCCTTGGTGTGAACTAAAAAATAAAAATTACAATAGTTGTAATATTGTTACTTGGGAAAGATGAGCTTTTTTTTTATTATCACAAGGATATGAATTTGAGCCAATTGTATATTTGTTGTACCCCAATTTTTTCATAAATCCAGGGCCCTATACTTTTGCTAAGTTTTCTAAGGTCTCGTGCCACCACTACTACCGTTCATTGCATTGTTTATAATCATAACCGATTCTTGAACTAAATTGCAGCGCTAAACCTTGGCAATTTATCGAATCACCAGTGGTAGCAGAAGGTTTACATTTTTCATCCCCTAAATGAATATATATGCGTGTGTGTGTGTGTATATAGGTCGACTCGGCCTCAAATCAGTACCTGGTGCAATGTGTAAACATTGCCACTAGGGAGACAAAGGCGGCCCGGGCGTGGTGCTGGCCACCCACCCCCTCGTGTGCCGTGCCGGCCTTCATAGGGACTCGCTAACAGCACTTGCCCCAACAGTCTGATAAGGCTACACGGGGAAAATCTTTGTCTTCGTATGAAACTTAACTCAACTATTTTTATTTTACCAGGTAAGGCCCACTGAGCTATATAGCTCTTTTTCAGAAGCGACCTGGCCACAAATGATAGCGCAATGAAAAGTGGCTTATCGTCACGTTGAAATTTATAGCAGCAGCCAAATACTCTAAAAGCACGTTTCTAAATGAGGGGGAAAAAAAATTACCGGGGGGCCCGGAGAAAAAATATACGGCACAAACACCAGGGTAAGAGGAGGTTTGCGTTTGGAAGGAAAACAAAGGGAAGATTTGAAAGTCGGAACAAGTGGGGTACCTCGGAGGCTTCCGCAGAAGGGGTTTCGGAAGAAGTCAGGGAAGAAAGGGGTGAAAGTGAAGAAGAGAACAGGAGCGCTCTTAACGCTGCGGATGCCGTGTGAAGGTGGCACGCCGTTTCCAAGGCCGGGGAGGCGGCTGGGCAGGCCTCCAGGACAGCACAACAGCAGCAGCAGCAGCACAGCAATGCAGAGGTGGAGAAGGGGTCGGAGGGGAGGGGGAAGCGGAAGGAAGGAAGGCAGCACATCTCAGGAAAGCACACCGCTAAAAATAAAGGCGAGGTTTTGTGATCGGCGATACGTGGGAACGATGAGGCCACTTAATATCACATTTATGAAGTATGAAAATTCACTCTGATAACTGTAAAGAACACCTAATTTACTTCATGGCACTGTTCACTCCGAACCCTTTTTTTGCTATTTTATTCCAATTGTGCTTTTGACTGAAGGTTACGCAAGTAATCCACGTTGCCCACAGAGAGAGAGGGCCCTTAAGTTTGCAAGCGAACACCGGCGCTGCCTCTAGCGGCGCTCACCCGTGGTTTTGGGGTGGTAGCCGCCGCTCATCTTGCCTGGCCCGCCAGGAGACGCTCCGCTGGTGGTCACACTTCGGCGGCGAGCGAACCCAGCCGGGAACTGATCGCGGCTCCAACTGCGGGAGAAGGAGCGGTCGACCGTCGCCTTCTTGGCCTCGGGGCCAGCACCTGCCATGACGCGCACCCACAGGGCAGCAGTGGCGCCAGCGGCGGTTAGCACGGTTGGCTAGAATACTTAACAACAACAAACCCGACGCCCATAAAATGCAACGCAAGTCCTCGCTTAACGCGTTTTCACACAACGGGTTGGTCGCGATGACGCGGTTCTTCTACTAGGCTACACTTTTTGGCAGATCCAGCAACGAACTTCAAAACGTGGTTTCTCAGCAGTCGACGGTGAACTACCACAGGCTGATTTTGTAGTGCATTTACTACCACGTCAAACGAGGGGTTGCCGTATTAAACGAGGTACAGCAAACAAGCTGCTCGCTTGTTCTAAAAGCGTGTTTACCAAGGGATATGAAATTAAATTATTGGAAGCTTAGGTGCTATACACCTATAATGTAAAGCAGGGATAGCAATTCATAGATTATCCATGTGCATCTCTTATCCCTCATTGCTCATAATAGCCACAACATGACCATTTATTGTTATATGTAGAAGTATACTTTCTTAACGTTCATAAAACAAAAATAAAGACATTTCTGACGTTATAAATAAAATCCATTTCCCTGAGGTTGCATGACTTCAATACAACATATTTAAATTGATGTTACAAACAACTTCGTAGAAACCAATGGACATATACTACATGCATAGGTAAAATATAAAATAATTGAAAGCTCATTTTTTCTCACCAATGCCAAGCCAGTCATGGAGGTTTGTCAGACCATACTTCACCCTTTCGGTGAGTGCAGGTTGAAGGGGAGGCCAAGATCAGTTCAACTATCACTCGCAGCACTGATGTTAGCCACGTCCAGGGAATGAAACTCCAGTCATCGGGTTCACAACGCAGCGCATTAAAAACACACACGCCACTGAGCCATCAGCACTGTGTATATTTCCAACAACCTGGAGTGGCGCGCGCACGAGCACAAATAACAAAAACTCAATGCGTTCGTCAACAACAACGCTGCCCGTTTCAGGCAAGAGCCTTTTTCTTGAGAGCAGAGAGATTCTGTGAAAAAAGGGCCACTGCCCAAAACGTCATCTTTCACATAAATCTGTCGTCTTCCAACCATCGTCACGGAACAACGTGTCAAGTTGATCGTAACTTGCTTTCCGGGTCGATTCACTGCCCTCCCTGGGTCTCCCCCCCCCCCCCCCCAAATACCCTCCCCCCCCCCGGAACCGCACCTCGTCCCCGATGCTTCTTCAGCTTCTGCTCGCTGAGTTTGTCCAGCGGGAGGTCGGCGAGATCGAGGCCGTAGACCTGGCGAGCCAGCACCTTGGTCAGCGTCTCCATGGTCTTGGCCCACTCGGCCACAAGCTCGGGCCAGCGCGTGAGGCCCGAGAGGGCTTCCAGCAGCCGGTCCCACAGCTCCCGCGAGACTTGCACGCTTAAGCTCGCTTTGATCCACGCCACGATCAGCGTCTGCCCCAAAAAAACACGCGTCGGACAAAAGCGATTGACACCACAGTGAGGCCCTTTCTGTCCTTGAAGTTACGCATTTGCATTATTGTGCAAATAGCTGTGCGAGTTACTTTGTACTTAATTAATTCGCAATTTGCAGAATTATGTTAATCCACGACTGGACGAAGGACTCCCCCCACGCCACGTGCCGTGTCAGTGAAGGCTGTTGTTTTGGCCATACTTCACCGCAATGGTCAGTGGGAGTGGGTGAAGGTGATTTTTTAACTTGCATATAATTAAGACAATGTTCGTGAAAAAATATTAACGCACGCTACTGCATTTACAAGCCTGAACACAAAAACGTGCATAAGAAGCCAAACGGCCGAGCTATGTGAATAAATAAAAGACACTTGGTTTGGATGACGATACGCTTTGATTTCGGCTAGGCGATATCAACCACTTAAAAATAATCCGGTGACGTTATTATGTGCCTTTTACGCATGCTTCAGTGCATTCAAGGTCAAAGCATCTGCGGTGGGAGCTAACGCCTTGTAAGAGGACTTGGGAAGGGCTACATCGTCCATACCTGAAAAACTGGGCCAGCCAGCCGCCCGGCTAGGGTGCGCTGTCGTAATCCTTGCGGAGGAATGGACTGAAAAATGCTCTCCGTGATCCTCAGCAGAACCTGTAAAAGCTGTTCCCTGATATATAAACACAGAGGGAACGGCAATATTTAAGGGCCCATTTAAGAGGCTTAAAAACTCCCGACCGTTGACAATAGATGCAAAGGTAAGAACATTGGTAACAAAAAATCAGCCCACTGCTATTAAATGCCTTTACTTATACGAGCGAGAACCAAGATTTTATTAACAAGATAAATAACCTTCTATATAAAAGGGAAATTTGTGAATATGTGTGTCTGTTCGAAATGTTTAGCATACTTCCCGACGTGCAGCAAACTTTAAATTTGGCATGCGGGTAGCTTCCAGACTGTACACAATGAAAAAAGTATAAAAATAGACTTTTCTATTTCGGGGGGGGGGGGGGGGGAGCCCAAAAATGGATATATTTTGTACGGCAAGTGAGCGGTGACATCACATCTGTGATGTCACCCGCATGCGGCAGCGTCACGCAGTGTGCCTGCTGACGTCACACATCCCCGCCCACCCTCCGCGTAGGCTGTGTATTAATCCAAGACAAGAATCCAAGTCTCGGGCGAAGCCGGGTAGTAAAGCTATTAATACATAAATAAGTCATGTAATCTTACGTTTGGCATATTTTGCACATGTGAGCAAATTTGTACGATTACTGAGCCGTTATCTCATTGGAAAGTAAAGTTAACAAGCGAAGCGTAACGTGTAATTATAATATCCTATTGCAGTAGTACTCTTTGAGCATAAATCAAACGGTACAACTAATCAATGCGCTATGAAGGAGCTGGCATTGCCCGAAGCATCACCAATTAAACATTTGTAATTTTCTCATTATTATTTTCGCTTGTGCACCACCGGCACCGCAGCAGCAGCAGCAGCGCAGCCAAATAGTTTATCCAACGGGTACACGTACGAGAGAGACGAGCGGCAGACAAACGCGACGCGGCCAACAACCGATCAATCGTTGACCAATCGCGCACAGGTTGCTCACCAGGTCCTCTTCTCCATGGAGACGTACATCACCATGTGGCGGTAGATATTGAGGACCCTCTTGCACAAGTCCACCTGCTCGCTCATCAGCCTGGAGATCTCACAGGACGGCTCCAACAGGAACACGTTGACCGAGTGCGTCAGGAAAACCTGAAGCCGGGGAGAAATGCGAGCGTTCGCCGAACCGTCGCGCAGGAATCTCGTTGGCATCGTTGCCCTCACTTCCGTGGAACTTATCCTGACGGTGTTTGATGTAGCGTCAAATGAAAAGTCGTATTCCAATCGCTAAAATTTGGTTGCGGAAAATGTTCTGTGACCTACCGGCAAACTGAAACAATAATCACCGGCGCGTCGTTAAACGCTTGCACGTCTCGTGGTCCTTCAATTTGTTTGGCCGCGTCAGGTGGTGGAGGGTTATTAACGACGCAAATTTGGTAGGATTATTAGGTAGCCTGACCCAAAAATCTATCATGAATTGTAATATCGGATGCGGAAATAACTCCGTGTTGTGTAGGTCGCATTCATGCGTAGGGTCACAACACTTCAAATGCGTACATCTTTGTGAACGTGAGCTTCAGACAAAATATTTGTATGACTCTGCAGCCGAGGTGTGGCGCCTCTTTTGCAATCTATATTCCAACTCTAGCTTCATCACAGGTTCTATATGTTTATCTATCACGTCGTCGTAATTGACAAAGTTCGGGTACTTCCACATCTTCAAAGATTTGTGGCCAGCATGGATGAGTAGGCCAAATACTCTGTCAAGAGGCTCTCTCTGGAGCTCCATCTAGTGTAAACCCTCCCTCTAGCAGTGGCATGAGCAAGCAATTGCAGGGCTGCACCTTGACCTTTAAACCCAAGACACGTGAAAACAGGGACCGACTGGTCCTGGCCACAACGTTGATGCGGCCTAGCTCGTGTGAAAGGCCGGTCGACCTAGCCGACGGCCTCACCTGCAGAGTGGGCTGCATGCCGGCGTGTACGCTGCCGCCCTCCTCAAGCCGGTTGATGGCGTTCTGGTACGAGTTCGTTCGAGTCCAGCTCGGGGTGCGCTCGTGCCCCATTGCCCGCGGCTGCTTCGCCTGCGGACAGGGCCGTATCCGGTCATCGTTCGCGCAAAGCAGTGGCACACACCACGTGACAATTTAAAACGCCAGTTTCCTTATTGTGTTTCCTTATTGTGTTTAAATCGGGAACCGATAGCGGTACGAGAAAAAGCAATACACACACAACGACAAGATATTGTTGTGCGATATAAAATACAAGTTGCATTTATGAATGCGTAACCTGACCTGGAAAGTGGGAAAATACAAGTAATAGAGTGGATTTGTTGATTATGATTGTTACGTATATATACGTATATATGTTTAACTTATTTCGCACCGTACGTAACCAACCGTGCTAATTGGAGGTGCGGGAGAAGGACAACAAACTAAACATTAAAATTTGTTCCGAAGAAATTCGTTTTCATTATAGATTTAAAAGTTCATAGCTTCAGTGGCTTCAAAATTATCGAAAGGTAGAGCGTTCCAGACGGCCGCGGAAGCGCATCTGAAAGTGTGCCGCGGCGCGGCGACCATCTTTTGAGGTTCAAACAAACGCGACATTCTCCTCCGCACTCGCGAGAGGGGCAATGCGTCGCCGACCTGCTGTTCCTCCCGTTCCGCCGGCTTGTTACCGCCGGACGGCGATCGCTCCACGTCCCCGGCCGCGCCGGCCACGCCGGTCGCCGCCGCCGCCGCCGCATCCTCCTTGGGCTGCGCCGAGACCGCCGGCTCGCGCATGAACGCCGGCTTCTCCTGGGATTGGATCCACTCCTGGTACACCTTGACCACGCGGCGTGTGGCTGCGGCCTCGGTGAAGGGCAGCAGGAAGGCCTATGGCGGGGTGACGTGTATGGCGGTGAGCGGTGAGCGTGATGATGAGTAAGTCGGTCGATCGACTAAAGACTTTAACCACATTTTTTTCGCGTGATTCATTCGTCAGGTATCAGCCGCACTCCTCCCCCCCCACCACTGTCAAACCTCCCGAAGGCAAGAAACCTCCTACAGGTCATGCCCAGCGTGAAGCAGATGTCGATGCCAATGGTGTCACCAAGCTCCACCCATCACCTCCCCTCCAGTGAAAGATACAGAAAAAATAGACCAGATGTTTTTCTTCCCCAACTGTACTGGTGTTATCGGATTAGTCTTGCAATTCAGCTGATAATTATCAATTCAACTGATAATTAACGATTATAATCGGTACTGTAATCGAATACGTAACTAATCCCATAGCCCAGCACAAGTGGAAAGTATACAGCAAATATTATATTATCAGTGTGTAACATACCAGTGATAACAAACACTGTACTCACTGTAACTCTAGCTTTGGGCTTAACTGCTCCAAACTGGAGCAATTTTGGCAGCATAAATCATTGCCCCTTTGGGGTCTTAAACAATTCTGCGTAAATATTTTATACATTAACGTGCATTTAGTTTAAAATGTGCCGTGCAATATATAATTCATGTGGAGCAGCATATTAATAAATTCATTATCATGTTATTATTATTTAGTGAGGCTAAGCTAACGCTGCAGAGAAGCACGCTCTTATCACATTCCCCTCCGTGCTGCGCAGGCTGTGCTGTCGGGCGCTGGACAGCCACTGGGCACATCAAGCAACCACAGGTGAGATGCTATGGGCTACGACAGCCGGGCCCGCTTGCAAAGTCCCGATCCTTCTGACGTTTGAAAAATAGTGCGTGTATCTATATATATATACACACGGCAGAGTCTTCGCTGAATGGTCTCCAACGTACCTGGCGGAACACTTCGCTGACGAAGTTGGCGTTCTCGCGCGAGGAGCAGAGGACGCTGCGTGCCACCTCCGAGTCGCTAAGGCTCTCGTCGGCGCCCGTGGCGCTGCTCAGGCTCGACACGCTGGGCGTGCGCTCCGTCAGCGTGCTCGTGTTCGAGTTGCCGGGCTCTGCTTCGCCCGCGCTGTCCGTCTCCACCTTGCCTGCGATGCCGGCACCGGCCCCCGTCGCGCCGCCTCCGCCGCCGCTCTCTCCGCCGACTCGCCCGGCCAGGCCAGCCGCCACCCTCTGTCGCAAGGGAAGGTACGAGAGCGGAGATTTTTCTCTCCCCTCCGACCCAACACCTCTGCAGTGTCCTCACTGCATATCGTACGTGCGGCATGGGGGCGCCGCGGCGGCGAGATGTTAACTGCCTCGCCCGGTATGCAGGAGGTCGTGGGTTGGATCCCGACCCCGACGACCTGTTGTATATTTAGAGTTTGCATGTCCTCCCCGTGGTTGGAGTGGATTTTTCTCCGGGTGATGTGAGGAAGCAATTGCAGGGCTGCACCTTTACCTCTATATATCCTTTTGGGATTTCTATATCCTTCAAATGTTTTTGCGCAAAACCAGGCGGGTGTGACACGTACAAGATCCTGTTCCATCGCCGTGCCAGCTTGTGGGTGAACGAATTCTGTTCACCCACCTTGCGGAGTACAAATGCGAATTAAGCACGCATCTTTAAGCTGCAGAAGTGTTTCATTAATTCGATTTGCTTCTTCTGCATGAGAACAATTAAACGACCGGCGGTGATGTGCTCTACAAAGCAATGGAAGCAATAAACGTGCATGGGTGCGGAACTAAATTAAAAGAATCCCATTGTACAACCGACTCATCCACCGCCTAACGGCACTCACGGAGCTCATCAATATTTACACGCATTTCATAGTCCGCTTTAAAACATACAAAATAAACACGGATTGATTTGAGAGGTTAATAGACTCATCTATAGCTGTATCGATTGCGAGCCCTGCTACCCATGCATGTGCTGCTCTTCTTGATTAAGACATTAATTCCAATGACAGACTAACGTGAAACCTTCGCATAAACAAGTGAAGTGTCGTGTTGGCAGTAGCCGCAAATGACAAACTGCGATTGTCTGTAAAACCGCTGTCAATTTTATCACGCAAATAAATTCCAATGTTTTGAATTACACCCGGACAAGAGTTAATCAAGACGTGCAGTATTACTTAAAATGCAACTTAAACATCCAATGCTTTAACGAGCGTCGAATAAAACTCACGCAGACTCATTTAACATTCATATGATGATCATCATTGTGACGATTATGACGGTTTTTAAGCCTCGACAAATGAACAAACATCTGGTTCGCTCTACACGCTTCCCACACCTGGATGATTTTTGGCATCGACTCGCCCTCGGCCTCCGGCACGGCGGGACACAGCAACGGCGGCTTCAACTCCAGCCAGAAGTTGACGAGCCACTTGATGAGAACCACGCGGGCGGACAGCAAGGGCTCGCGCGTGCTGTAGCTCGGCTCGTTGAACTGCACGTCACGGCCCACCTGCACGTACTGCGGCTTCGCCCGCAGCAGCGGCACCTCTGCAGGGGGCAACGGCGGAGCAAAGCAGGCGAGTGGGGCTACGCGAGAAGGCCACCCGTTTGCAAAGCCCGAGTCACAAGAGCAATCAGTGTAGCAACTCTCTGCCCTCCTGATTATGGAACATCCAGGCACGTTTCACTGCGACGTCAGAGCCGTGCCCGGGAGTGGAACCCTCGCAGTGCGGGTGTTTTTTTTCACTGGCTATCTGCTGGGCCGAGCCAGAACCAATCCGTGAAACTCTGACCGCACACTGAATCTGACTCCGAGTCAAACGGGATCGGTCAGGGGCTGGGTTAATAATTTTGGTCGTTTGTGGTGTCAGAAAAACACACGCAACTCGACCCGTTCATTGCACGCGACATAGGCGGCAGCTGTCAAGTTCTCCAGTGGAAAAACATTGTTTTTTTTCAACTACCAAACTATCTTTTTTATTTCACCAGTTAAGGCCCACTGAGCTATATAGCTGTTTTTCAGAAGTGACTTGGCCACAAACGATAGCTCCATGAAGTGGCTTATCATCACGCGAAAATGTATAGCAGCAGGCAATAACTCTAAAAGCATGTTGATTCTAAATATGGAGGGGGAAAAAACAGAGGACCCAGAGAAAAATCCACGCTACCACGAGAAGAACATGCAAACACCAGATATACAGGCATCAGGGTCGGGATTGAACCCACGACCTCTTGTATACCAGGCAAGGAAGTTAACATCTCCACCAATTATTGGAAGGATTTGATAAACCATTTGGGGTCTTAATTGATTGTTCACGCTTACGGTGGCTTTCAGACAGCATACATTAAATTTGCGTCTCCCCCCTCCTCTTTTCCGAACATAGATGGACTCGTCCTTCTAAACAAACTGTCAAATCGCTATCCGTGGCGCTAACGGGTTTTAAAATAAATAAATAAATAAAAACAACGTTCTAAAATAAATAAATGCAAAACTACGTTTAAAAATAAATTAATAAATACAAACCGCCACTTCTTTCAAATGCTTATTGCTGTTGGTTTTCACGCCTGATGATGACTGTGTTACAGTCGAAACGTCGTGAGAATTTTATTGTTTTATATATATTTTATTATTTTATTGTTTCCCTTCAATGTGACTTTACCGAAAGAACCAAGAATATGAATATCTCCACCACCGTTTTAATGATGGGTTACAAAGCACAGCTGGTATGTTGTTACACATGCCACTGTAATGTACGAAAAACAAAACCGTCATACAAATTATTCACTACTAGTCTCTTGTGGCTGAGAAAATATCTGTATACAGCAATGTAAGCTCATGTCTGGGAGTGTAGAAATGAGGGTAACACCACTCCCCAAAGTTTATCCACCCAGCCCCAGAAGGTATGGCTCACACCCCTTATGCTAAATACCAAACTCTGTACTTTAGGCACCACACCCACACATTAAGTGCCACTTTTTATAGCTCAGGCAGCTAATGGTGGCGAGAATCCTTCGCTAAATTTGGCCAAAGGTGATGACGTAAAAAACATTCTTAAAAGAAAGTAGTCAGGCCACCCTCTATGAGGCTGAGCAAGCTTTGCTGGCTTGCAGGAGGGTGGGACGAACGGTCACTTCCACAGCATATTTGGTTTGCTGGTTGAAATTAAAATCCATTTTCCTTGCGTAATTAATTGTTTGTGATTTTTAGTAAAAAAAAATGTACGTGCGCATGAAACACATAATATACAAAAGTACCATACCTAGGTTGGGACTGTACAAGCTGGTCTCCTTGCAGAAGGAGGGGAAGATGAAAGGGAGGTAGTACTTCTTGAAGATGTTGAGAAGGAAGGCAAACCCCTTCTCGTGGTTTTCCTTGTTCTTCCACTCCAAGCCTCTGGCCTGTACAAACGACGATCGGATATAACAACGAACATTAACCCTTTCCGACTCGGATGACCGTACGTGTATGCCATCGTTTATTCTTCCAATTACGTTCTGATGACGTAGACGTTCCGATGACGTCACATTAACCCTTTCCGATTCGGATGATGAAACGTGTACGCCATCGTTTTTTCTTCCAATTTCATTCTGATGATGTACACGCTTCGATGACGTGTATGTCATTGAAGCGTAATCAGAAAAAAAACTGACATGCACGTTATAGAAACGCCCAACACAGAACGTTATCACCACAGCAAACAAAACGTGTCAGTGGGAAAGCGGCCGATTTGCCATCGAGACCAACGTTTGTTTTCACTCGAAACAGTTCCCTTTCAGTGGGGGCATGTTAGTTGCTATTGTACAAGCTGCACACGCGCACAAGGCAGTGTTGCTCAAACGCCACTGGGCTGTGCCCTCACTTTTGTAAAAAAATCTTTGCTCTCTGGCCCATGGGGAAAGAGAGAGAGGAGGACGGGAGAGCACGTGAAGGCAAGGTTGTTAATTCACACACCCCGGGACAGGGAGTGGAGGATGAAACAAAGACAAATATCCCGTTTGAAGCCTTAAAAGACTGTTGGGACAAGTGCTGTTAGTGAGCACCTATAAACGCCAGCACGGTACACGCCCGACCGCCTTTGTCTCCCCAATCGTGATGTTTACACACCGTACCAAGTACGTATTTGAGGCTGAGTCGACCTAGGGGAGGTCCAGGAACGGTTGAAATAATAGTCACTGGCGTTGACCGTGAACGGGAATCAAACTCGGGTCGCTGGGTTCAAAACGCAACGCACTAACCGCTGCACCACTGTTCCCCACTCCTCTGGAGGACAAACACACGTGCACACACACGCACCCTGCTAACACTCGCCCCAAGGTTTATACAACATGGGCTTGCTGGCCACAGTCAAAACAATGTTTCAGCACCTGTTTTGACTATAAATAGAACTTAAACAAAGGTCACGTGTCCCAAATTGATCACAACCCCCAGGAAAAATGTCAGCAATACAATTCACTATGATGCTTAATGGGCAGTAACGCCAGGTACAGCAGAGAACACCAGCGACCTATACTAAATCTGTGTACCTTCCAATTCTCAATGCCAAATTGTTCAAGTGGCATGAAAATGTACAACTCACTCTTCCACTTCCCCGCACTCTCCCACCTCTCCCCTCTCATCTCACTCTACTCCCACCTCCACGCACTTTCCCTTCTCGCAACAAAGGCATATGGACGCTATAAAAATCCGAGTTATATTGCATCTTAAATTGATTAAATGTTAAACTTCCATGTATATCTAAAAAAATGAATCCATCTGCAACAAAAGATCCACCCACTGAGGTTTTGTTAGTGCGAGTTAGTAAACAAAAATACTCCACCTGGATTACCATGTATTTCAGCATCACTTCCAGCAGGTAACAGGTGAGGTCCTCCGGTATCTGCTCATTGGACTGCGGAGACACCAGAGGAGTGATCTCCTCTGCACACACCGGCCCTGAACAGCAGAGAAGTGCGATGCCATGGGGTCAACGTCGACCTGTTACCGTTACTAACCTCCCCCCCCATTGTGACTATTGTCGTTTTGTTTTATGAGTAAGCTTGTTTAGCCAGGAAAGCCTCGGGAGGGGCCTTGCTAAGTTTTCGCAGTTGGGAGGGGGGTTGGTGTTGCTGCTGCTGTGTGATCTCATTTGAGTAATTTGCAGATAATTTGTCAGCATTAGGGTGTATGGCCAATACCAGGGATATTGTATAGTTTGTTTGTTTTTTAACGATGGGGGAAGCTGAAGAACCCCGGAGGAAACTCGTGCACAATAGGGGGATAACATACAATGCCTGCCTGCATCAGGCATTGTACTCAGACCCTTCTTTGAGTGAGGCACTGGTGTTGCACCACTGAGACACCCTGCCACTCTGCCACCCTAAGGCTTGACAGTTAAGCTGTGCAGATTTCAAAATGAAACACTCCCTAATTATTGTGGTAACACATTAAGGAGAAATAAAATATTCATAGGCCAGGAGGCTCTCCTGAATGTGCTAAGTACAAGGAGAGTAAAAGACGGCAATGTAACGACGACAGGGGCAAATTAATTTACTTCAACAAACATACATCCAAGCATTGATCTCTGAAGAGGGATGTCTGAGCCTTAAAACGTACTAATACACCATTATTTAATTTCGCAAAATGGCTTTTGGAAATTAGTTTTGATTATTTTTTGCCATCCCTCAGCCTCTCGTTCAGCGAGCCACTGTGACGTCGAGCGTCTTGCCGTGTCTTGGACAGCGCTTCGAGATCTTTGTCGAAAGGCGCTTCACGATATAAATAAGATTATTATTATCATCATCATCATTAAACGGCAAAACAGATTAACTGGTGACAAAATAAAAGCAACGTGGAGGTGGGGGAGAGAAGGAGCAAAGCAAACGCTCGTGGCCGCCCGTCCGTAGCCTCGCACAAAACCGCGACGACTGTACCCAGTGTCTGTCAGTGCAGCGGCTACCTAGGAAAGCAGGCGAGAGCGGCCAGAGCAGGCTTGCGGAAAGAAGAGAAGCAGCACCTTCTGCTGTCGCCAGGCAGGGGTTGATGAGGCTGTCGAGCGAGCGGCCGCCCTGCTCGCCGGCGGGCAAGGGGAAGCCCGGAATGAGGCACGCGTACATGAGCAGCAGCTCGTCCGAGCAGTTGTGCTGCAGCGCCTGCATCCACAGCAGGAAGAGCCGAACGCCCTCTCGACGGAGCTGTTCGGCGGGGACACACACGTGCAGAGGGACAGCGGTCACCCTTGTCGCGCGATCGGTTTTCCCGTGCAGACCGTCGGGGCGAGCGCCCAGTTGAGGTTCGGCGAGACGACGCCGCGGTGTAACAAGTCGGCGTGTTGCACTCGCGGGTCGAGCGCTCGCCGGTTCGACCTCCTGGCCGGCGCGGCAGTTGATACGGCAGGGAAGGTTCTCGCGGTAAGGGGGGCGATGTTGCAATGTACGATTCCAATTGAGTCGTTTGCGAGTAATAATGCGAGTCATTTAACAGCATCGAGGATGTCGTGGCCAATACCAATTATACCCTATGGGTTTTCTTTGTTTTGTTTTAGCTATGGGAAGAAACTGGAGTACACCCATGCAGTACACGGGGAAAACATATAAATGCCACGCGGAAAGGTGCACGCATCGGGAATCGAACCCAGGGTATTTTTACTGAGAGGCACAGGTGTCACCACTGCACTACTGCCTGCGCAAAGGCAGATTAAGGTCAAAAATAAATAAGAAAAGTACGAATGAGACGGAGAACTTTTAGACAGCTGAAATTGATCACGAGAAGCGGGCACGCCGATGTGCCCAAAGGAGAAAGAGATACGTCAGCCGAGAGATACGGCCCACGAGCACGATCAACGATAACTAACACGGAGGGGAAAAGTCTAACGGTGTACAAAGAGTGTGGCAAAATTCGGCCGATTGAACCTAAATCATATTCATGGCCGAGATATTGCGATTGAAATCTGACGACAGCCAGCTGCTCGTGTTTGCCACCGCAACTGACCCCGGAAGCCAGAACCAGAGGCGCCGCGCACACCACACGCACATGTTGTCTTCGGGGCGTATCTTCAAAAACCCTGGCTTTCAGAAAGCGTGTGCCATGGTGCTCCATCTTGCATGGAATTTGAATAGCAGTGGTCTGGCCACATGCTTTTTCAGGACACTCGTCGGGTTCACTGTTATTGATTGTTGCAAAATAACGCAATGCAAAATGGGCGAAAGGGAACGCTGCTGTAAAGAATGGAAATAGCGCTCCTCGCTAAAGTTATCAGTTTTTTGACACGAGTCTTACCGTTTGCTGGGGTTTATTGATACTGAACTGCAGAGCTTACTAAAGTCATTCATAAATACACAGGGTTTCAAATTTATATCTGATCTCCTTTCCCCAAGACTACCAATCACAGAACTCTCTCAAGTTTCTCAGTTTGCATGAACTACCAATGATGGTTCCACCCAGGCAAGCAAATAACGGAAAGCCAAGAGTGGACATTTTCAAGAGTAAAAATACCATTCGAAAATCAGTCACCGCCGGGGGGAAACGTAAGTCAAGAGATGTAATCCCCCAGTGATTCTTGAGCGGTTGTAAAATGTGTTTGCCAATTCAAATTCCAAAACTTTCTACGCGACTTAAGGGGTTCTCTTTAAGTCAACGAAGCTGGGAATGGCGAGTTTTAGAATAAACAAAGGGTCGTCAAAGGGTCACGACGTTGGAATGGTCAATACATGTTTGAATTGCCTTCACCTCTGCAAAGCACACTCAGTGCTGCACCATCAACACGACAAAAATCACAACACTCACACTCGAGGGCTGCAGCGCTTGTCCATGCCGTACACAACTGCACCCAAACAGTTGGTAGGAAAGATTGTGAAAGGGCCCCACGGTGGCGAGAAATTAATGACCTCGCCTGGTATGCAGGTCGTGGGTTCGATCTCAACCCCCACCCCGACGCCTGCTGTATATTTGCAGTTTGCAAGTTCTCAACGTGGTCACGTGGATTTTTTTCCGGGTTCTCTGGCTTTTCCCTCCACATTTAGAAACACGCATTTCGAGTATAAATTTCCACGTGATACGCCACTTTGTTGAACTATCATTTGTGGCCAGGTCACGTCTGAAAAAAACTATATAGCTCAGTGGGCCTCACCTGTTAAAAATAAGCATAGTCATAGTTCTAAATTTATAGTTGTGTAGCTGCAGCAGCATGCACGCTACACGTATTTATCGGGGTGAAAACATAAACTCGCATTGCGGTTTGGCCTTACAAGTGCCAAATAACCTTAAACCTTTAAACGGCGCTCTACTGAACAGAAAACTCTTCCGTGTGTATTCAAGTTTGGCGAAGTGCTTTAAAAACAGGCAAGAATGTCAAACAACATACTCGCGTATGTCAAGACATTCCTGGGCTAACTTTGAAAACAAAGTCCTGTTGATCTAACAATGTGCCATGACAGCCTAATAATAGGACATTAAGCAAATTCACTGCAGATAATTCTTTGGGGGGTAGGGGGGGTAATACATTTTTTTAAAATTATTGAAGCAAAATGATGACTTGTTCCAAGATCAAAACTCAAAACAATATTATTGTTATTACACCCAGAAAAAAAATTATACCCAACTCTAGATTTAAAGTTTTCGTGACTGCAAGGATCCATACTCTTTGGTTCTTTCGGTAAAGTCACGTAGATAAAAATTAAATAAATTAATTTCATTTAATTTTTACTTATGCCCAACTGTTGATATGCCACATGTTGTCACTGCTAAGATTTGTGTGGTTTGGATAAATATATTATCATTATTACTGATTATTAAGCAGATTTTTTTTATTTATTCCAAACAAGTTTCATTTTTATTAAGATATATAGTTCAAAATATGTAACTGTAAAAACATTCCATTGTTTTCTACCAGAATTCAAGCCAAAGGAGCATCTGTTATTAATTTGTTCATCTCAGAAATCCGGAATATGGCGAAGTCACTTTGTACTGACCACAAGCAGCCTCAAGGAGACATTACAAAAGTTTCTTGAATATTGCTCCCTTGGTCTAAAATTTAATTACTGAGTATCCACAAAAAGCCTAAAAATAAAAACCTTCTAGGAGTATTCTTTCAATAAAAAAAGCATGCAACAAAACAAGGAAGTCCCTGGGAAAAATAAACACAGACACAGAATGAAGGCCACCGAGTCAGGTCAAGGCGATGTTATCGACAAGTGACCACAGCGAGAACGGTGACCGGCTGCAAAGCATCGGGCGAAGGAGGCAACCACTGGAATGCGCGAGGCCTGCGGTGGCCAACCGGCGTCTCCAGAGCCGCATGCGTCTCTTTAATCCATCACATGCGGCTTCTATCGAAGGGGGCATAACCGTAGAACGTACTATTACGGCAGCAAAGACGAATGAATGCCTCCTGTGCTGCGCCGAAAACTGTCAATATATATTCACTTATACATATACACCTGGCTCTTTACAGAACTCACGGAAACTTTTGGCTCTTGGTCCGTGACCGGTTGGCCACCCCTGTGCTAGGAGAAGAGGACTACCATGATTTGAGTGGACGTCAAACGTCAAACACCGGACCGGACGGAAGCTGTCGCCGTTGAAAGACGCAGCGGCGGGCGGAGAGAAGTGGCGAGCCCACAGGAAATAAATATCGGGTGACGGAAACGGTCGCGCCCCCGACGGAGGACAAGTAATTTTGAAGAAGCAGGCAAAGCCTTGCTCAAGACTTTTCTTTTTTGCAGCCTCCTGAATTGGGACATTTGGATACTTCCTAGAGGAAAAAAAAATGTAGAAACCCTTAAGATGTGGGCATTGTTGAAGCAAGTGCAATTACAGAGTGTGTACAAATACATGGGGTTTTTTTGGGATACAGCAGATAACGATGCATATTCACTTTCCCAGTACGAGTGTTAACACACATTGAGCCCAGGGTGTGAAATGGGCTGCTGCCTCAATGTGCTGGTGGCCACCACATCCATCAACGACCCACGGGTGGCCACAACTGAATTATTTTACCGCGTGCATGAAAAATAGCCTTCATATAATCCCGAGCGTGCACTGTTACGTGTGAAACCACCAATACATTTTAAGGCAGTACGTTACTCTGATTAGTGCGCAGCGTTAATTTACTGCTGTGTTTTTTTTGCACAAATCCCTGTCTTTTCTGCTGCTGGCTGACGGCCAACATCTATATGGGTGGGCCCTACAGGATAGCCAGTTTGAGAATACTGTATACCAGAACATGCACAACAGTCTTCATTGCCACAACCGGTTTAAGGAATTTAAACAATTCTCGGAGGGAGTGGTGGCGCAGTGGTCGTCGCATGCGTTATGAAGCCGGCGACCTGAGCTTGATTCCCCTGCCGGGGTTTAAAGTTGGTAGCGAGCGATATCCGAACCAGTCCCTGTGCCTTCCCTCCCTTCACCAATCTCCCACCGACCGGCGTGGTGAAGTGTGGTCAAACGAACCGCACAACAGAAAAAAATATAAGTCTCCATCCAGCAGTGGACTGACAAAGGGCAGCACATCATGATTGCATATTTATATTCAACTCTCCTCATGAATAAATATTCAGGCCTGTTTAGGAACTGATGGATTACGACCACAATTGGCACAACATCTCCTTCAGCGCGAGCCACCTTGGTTTATTGTACCAAAATAATATATGTATAAATGCACCCTTTGTTTAATCTATACGCGCACTGGAGGGTTTCGCCTTTATGACACAAAGAATGACACACAAATGGCATCGCTGTCAGCAAATGAGGCATCAGCCATGACACTACCCTGGCCCTCCGTGACCCTGGACCGTTTTACAAAAAGGAGACAAACAATAGGCAGCATACGTGACGGTGCAATCCTGGGTCGTCATTAAGCACTTTGGATTAGGTCAGCCGTAATGAAGAGGAGGACGTGTCAAGAGTGACATTATATACAAAAAACAAACAATACCTTGGCCTCTGCCCGATAGTCTTCAATGAGTCCGATCTTTAAGGCAACTACCGATGCATGCTGAATATTTGAGCTGCGAGAATGAGCAAGTGCTTTGCTCTGCATATCTGCTCGCGAAGTCGTCAGAGCTCAGGTAGAAGACCGTTGTGCGGCAATGCCATATTGTTCCCAATGCTGGGTTGATGTATGTATGTCCGTTGAACTTCTTTCGCACCGCACATAGCCAACCGTGCTAATTGGAGGCGCGGATGAGCGGTCCTTTGTAACTGGGCTTGAGATGATGATGATCATCATCATCATCATATTCTCCACATGCGAAAACTGTTTACCTAACGTTCTTGAACCATGACCTGAGCAGTGATGTAACTGCTCTCACTCGGGCCAGGAGCATTGGGCAATTGTCCACTCTAAAATGTCCCCATGAGAATGCTTAGAATATTTAATATAATGGGGTGGAGTGGTGGCATAAAGTAGTTAAACGCTGTGATATGAACCCTTCTACCCGAGTTGCATCCCCAACCAGTGCTAATATTAGCGGTGAGTGATATCTGAACCGGGCGGTACCCTTCACCACCCCACACTGACCAGCGTGAAGTATGGTCAAACAACCCCAAATTAGCAATCCTAAATAAACTAGTTTTTGTTATTTTACCTGGTAAGGCCCACTGAGCAATATAGCTCTTTTTCAGAAGCGATCTGGCCACACACGATAGCTCACCGATGCGGCTTATCATGTGTACATTTATAGCAGTCAAATACTCCAAACGCGCATTTCTAAATGCGAAGGGAAAAACTGGAGGACCCGGAGAAAAATCCACGCGACCACGGGGAGAACATGCAAACTCCAAATATATAGGCATCAGGATCAGGATCGAACCCACGACCTCCTGTACACCAGGCGAGGTAATTTACATCTCACTACAGCGGCGTCTCAAACACGACGTAAAAGAGGCCTTCATCCAGCAAGTGATTAGGACAAAGTGTTCATCATAATTTAAATGTGAAATGTTTAAGAATACAGCCCTAATGCAATTCACTGCTGGATGAAGGCCTCCCCATGCGGTGTCAGGCACGGGGAGGAGTTGTTTGACCATACTTCATCACTCTGGTCAGTATGGGTTGGTCGGTGTTACCTGGACTCGTTTGGATATCGCTTGTCACTGTGAGCTGGGGCCGGATATTTGTTTTTATTAAAAAGTAAAAAAAGCAAATAGCTGCAAACACAAGCTATGACTCCAACACTGGTACAATGTATAAGCAGTAACGGTCGAGCGAAAACCAAGCTTTGTATGATGAATGATTGCAGGAAACATCATACTTCAAAAATGAAATTGGAGCAGTGCTCCAGACGTCCCCATCCACACCGCACTGCTTGCTTATCTACCAAATCCTTTCTCAATCGTAACATAAAAAACGTACTTTTCATTTATTATAATACCTGTAAAAAGCAATAACTTGTTCAAGGTGAGATTGGAAGCCTATCAGTGTAACACGGTGCCATTTGAAATCAAATCATTCAAACTGCTCGACATACATGCCTCTTCGCACTCATGCTGCTATGTTGTAGAGTGTTCCCTCATTCTCTCAGAAGACCTTTGATCAGAATTGAAAAACTGTAAAATACATTTGAAGAAAAAAAAACGCCACTTTTTTCAAATTTTCTTGCTGTGGTTTTCACACCTGATGATGATTGCTTGTGTTGCAGTCAAAACGTCGTGATAATATTATTGTTCTATATTTTTATTATTTTAATGCTTCCCTTCTACGTGACTTTACCGAAAGAACCAAGAATTTGAATCCCTGCAGTCACGAAAGCTTTAAATCAAAATGTTGGAAAGTGTTACAGAATCCATCCCTAAGCATGATTTATCCAACCTCGTTAATTTTATGAAAATAAGTTGCCAATCAAAATGAACATTGCTCAAGGCAATCGTCATTATAAAAGAACTCTGATCTATTGGAGGGGTGTAGCAATGCATCAATTCGTCAAATCACATTGATTCTTAAGCTCAGGGAACATGCATCGAATCGCAAATGTAAGAAAGGACGTCTTTGATCCGTGGTATCATGTGCATGATGTCGGTCTGCGTGACCGCTAGTTTACAAAAATTATAATAAAAAAATTGTAACGCTGAAAGAAGGGTGAGCAAATTGTTAAACAACGTCCATGCATTACTTTGAAACAACAGCGATGTCATCACTGCGATGCAAAGCATGCAGGGATTGCTGATGCTGTGCGGCTGTATGTATTGCAATACCTTGATGGAATTTCCAGTGTGCAGTAGCTTCTTTAAGATTAACCCTGTCGACGAAAGGAGAGAAATTACACAAAATTGGAAGCAGGAGAAAATTTTTATAAAAATAAAAACTGTTACATGTACACATCCGGAACGATTTAAATATTTCTTCAAACACCACTTATCACTTGTGCTTAAACCACAACGTACTTTGTCAATTTGAAATCTGTACTCGATAACTCAGTAAGTGACATAGTAACAATACATGGCTGTGAAATTGTCCAATTGTGAGCATTTGCTGCACTCGCTCACACGCACACAAACTCACATTGACGGTCGCAAAATCTATCGCTGCAATGCAACACTTTCCTTTGTTGTTGGTCATATTGTTCAGATAACACATTGGTGTGCTGTTAGAAGTTATGAATATTTAAACGCGATCCGTAATAATAGTGTGTGCATGTGAAACTACCGAGTAGTTTTTCATTGTAGTAGTATTTATTGTTTTATTATCCATTGTCAATGCTTGTTTACCCAGCGAAGCCTCAATGAGTCTCAGGAAGACCTTGCCACATCTTTGCAGTAGGGGGGCAATGTTGCTGTGTGTGCGATCCCATTTGAATAATTTGCAGGTGACTTTGTCAGCATTGGGATGTTTTGGCACCGACCAGTTACACCGTTTATGTTTTTATTTTACCTATGGGAAGAAACTGGACAGCGCGGAGGAAACCCATGCAGAGAATGTACGCACTCCACGCAGAAAGGTGCCCGAGTTGGGAATCGAACCCAGGGCCTTCTTGCTGCGAGGCCCCGGTGGTTACCAACTGTACACGCTATCATCGCGCCACCCTGCTGCTCGTGTTGGCTCTCCGATGCGATTGCTGGTCGCGCCACGTGCCGCTTGGCACGACGGCTTCCATCACTTCGCTCCGCGTGCTGGAAGATTCCTCAGGAGCCGAACGTGACCACTCATCAGCAGTATTCAGTTCCCGAGGAAGGTCCCAGCCCATGAAGCGAAACGTCCAGACATCGCTGCAGTACCGCGCAGCGTGGTACGGCCCGAAAACGCATCGGAGAGCAACGCCGCAAGCGCATCATCAAATCTGCACTCCTCTTCAGTTTCCCTTTTGACTAATTACTCCAAGCCGCTAGCAGCCGCTGAAACATGTTTAACCCTGCACGAGATCAAGGGCGCGGTAAGGTCAGCGCACAGAAATGTGTTTCCAGTTCGGACTTCGAGGAGGCGTTGCGACTCCGGCATTAAATCACATTAGCAGCGTTAAATCGGATTAAAACATACACACATATTCGGGATTCCTTGCGGGGCTTTGCAGACGTCCCGGTGAGATAAGGGATCAAAGGGTGAGTTGACACGACAACCCCGATAGCATTGGGTGAGGGTGAGGGAGGAGGAAGCGAGAGGGGTCTTAGCCACCCTGGCGAAATGCTTTGCTCCCCCCCCCCCCCTCCAATTATAAATGACTTTCACAAAAATGTCATAGACTTCTTTCTCAAATGAGCATTGGGGCGTTGCTCATCTCCCCGTTCACAGTCCTGAGGCAGTGGAGTAAATTCTACATTCCTATGGCGGCGTTGGTGCAATATTCCACACGTTCGTAACGATCGCTCATACACACACACACACACCGACTGATGGCAATCGGGAAGGGGGGCTGGGCTAAAAAGCCAGAATTAGCCGAATTAATTTGCTGGCATCACAACCGTTCCGTCAATTGCACAGGGGGTGGGAGGGCGAGAGCCCGAGCGGAACGCACAAGACAGACAAAAACAGATCGCAGCGTCGCTCGCTCTATTTAGCGTCTATGATTTATTTTAAACCTTGCTTCACATTGGCTGTGTCGTGTCGTCCCCGCCGGGCACCCCGCCCGGCACCCCCGCCCCCTCCGCCCTCCCTTGCCAACCCCCCCGCCCCACCCCCGAGTTTTTAAATGCCTCGCCTCCACCTTTAAACGCGTTCACGCCCCCGCAAGGGTTGGTGCTCCGGAACGCCGCATATTTACCTATGCTGTGAAACTGCCATTTGTTCTGGATTCTCTCGGGCAGGAGTTGCAGTATTTTCTGGAACGCAAAAGACATTCAATATCAGCTGTTGCCAAGCCCACCTCTCTGTCCAATGAAACACACAGTGCAGACAGCTTTATATACACCATGTAGGCGCATATGGCTATAATTTAGGCGTCAGCTGCGCGCGCACACACACACAACTCTGCTCTTACAACACTTAATACTCGACGGAAGCCACGGCGTCGATTTCGCCGTTGTGCTGTGTTGCTCGGCACAACGGGCGACGTTTCGCTCGCGGCACATGGAGCGAAACGTCGGACGTTGCCACTTCGCGCGCTGGCAGCCTCGTCAAGAACTGAAACCCTCCCGAGTGTTTGGAGAGAAATGACGGACATCGTACCAAACGACGCGCGGTACGATCTCAAGCTCGATGAAAATTCAACTGAAAACAACAAAAATGGCATTTTCTGGTGGGCCACAAAATTTTTTTAACGTGTTGCTGGCGGGTGACGCGACATCAAATGTTATGACATCACACGGCGTCGTGACATCATCGCGTCTTTATACGAGAGCACGAACCCGCACCTCTCGTTTACAGCTCTCTTGTTCATCTCACTTTCATCTCACCACATCTGAATCTCTCTAGGTCTCGGCGATTCGTACATCTTGGTGGGACACAGCTCAGCAGGCCACTGCTAGAGCGTCCTTGGGCCCAAAGTGGCCCATGGGCCACAAGTAGAAAAACTGTGTTCAAGTAATTGTTAAGTGTGCGACGACTGCACATAAAAATAATCCAAAGCTAAGTCGCCAATTCTTTCGGTTGAGGTTTTCCAATTCTCCGTTCACCAAACTTTACATCAGAAGTCCGTTGGCATTTACCATCAATATATTTTCTTCCCCAACTACTCCACAGGACAGTTGTAGTTGCTTACAACTGCATCGGTCAATAAACCAATATTTTCACGAAAAACCGCGGCTCAATTTCGGCACCGTCACTCACGCAGCACGTTTTTAAATGAGTACATGGAGCGTAGCGGTCTCCGAGCAGGAAAAATCGCAGAGGGTTGCGATCGCCGTATTCATCAAACACTTTGAAGGCAGGCAACATGTATGGCTCTGATAACACACAGGAACTGTTCTCAGAAGATCAATTATTAACCTCCCCGCGGTTTAAAGGTGGGTCCGATGGCACACACACCTAACTGTACTGTGCTCATAAGAAGTGGGGATTGTTCTGGGTCTGGAATGGACAAGACCGAAACCAACATCACTCGTCCATCTGAAAACGCTGTCATGTCCTCTCGCAACAGAACGACGTAATGATTTCGAATATATTTATCAGAGTCAAAATATTTATTTATACTGGAGGAATCCGATGAGCTACAAACGCTCTTTTTACACGGATGTCTTAATATCAGCAAGTCCAAAATCGTGCAATACGGCCACAATCTTCTCCCAACTCCACACGGAACGTGATCTTAGAAAACACGACAATGCTTTGCCCTCTGGTCAATAGACATCTCAGTTTGTAGGTCCACATGTTTACATATTTTTTCCTTGCCGGCCACCAGCACTGATAACAGGGGAATCGGTGTAAGAATTGTGATATATATATAAAAAACGAGTGTTCATTTGTAATTTTTTAAAGAAATTCCTCCATTACCAGTGTTGTGAGATTGTGAGAGCTTGGGGAAGCCTTCATCCGGCACGAGATCGATCAAGTCTAATGACGATAATTACACTGTGTAACAGAAAAAAAAAATTGTCCCTGGATCGTAAGTGTTATCTCCTAATTACTTATGCCTCAAAAGTACAGAAAATGGCTATTATTCCCCACAAACTTTGCCTTTGTGAACAGGACAGTGATACTTTGAAATTGACCTATTTTAATTGGGAAAACGTTTGCATTTGTGTATTTCGTTCACATAAAGTCCTGTCCACACGTCTGTGGAGAAGAATAGCCATTTGCTATACTTTTTAGGCATAAGCAATACTAAAATAACACGGTACCCAGGAACAAAAATTGTGTCACATCGTGTTATCAATGTATATCAACTCCTGAGCGAGCTTGTTCTTATGAACGTATACTCATCAAGACGAGACTAACATATACCCCTCTGACGTATACATTCATTAGACGTCACCGTGACCGGGAAGTTGACATTTAAGTAAAATGCATCACAATGTTGTAAACATGCCCTTCGTACTCGGTGATATCATATATTTTTAAATGCCTTGAGAAAGACTCGAACGATCGTGGTCTTGCCAACAACACGTGTACCCTTGCTGGTGTATCCCTCCGTACACACGAAGCCTTTCATAGGACCGCCACAACAACACACCGAGGCGGTCACCACGCACAAGAGCGGCGTACTTTGAACCGCGCACCACTTTTTAATGGATCGCAGAGGGGGCAGAACGCAAGCAGGCCATGGTGTTACTACTACTACGAAGAGACATCTAAAGTAAGAAAGCGGCGTCACACCATTAATCCTCCTGTGACAGACCAAGGGCAAAGGGGCCGTCCATAAATGACGTCACGCGATTTTGGACGATTTTTGACCCCCCCTCCCCTCGTCACACGGCGTCACAAAAAGTCAGATCCCCCTCAAATATGACGTCACAAAGCTCTGCCCCCCCCCCCCCCCAAAAAAAAAGAAAAAACATGCTTCAAATCGCCTTAAACTATTGTCATTGTAGTGCGTATTTAATGTGGCGCTGCACTCTGATGTTGTAGGAGAAAACATTTATGAAAAAATCTATTTAATTAAGTAGAACGTGTTGTCTATATTTACTTAAAGTTGCGCATTTTCACGTGACGTCACATTTCTTAAACCCCCCCCCCCGTCACACATCGTAACAAATGTCTGACCCCCCCTCCCCTTAGGTGCGTGACGTCATTTATGGACGGCCCCAAAGCCGCTAAAAGCTTCAACTTCCCCATACCCGGAGATTGTAGATTTCACAGCGTGGCATAACGAAGAGATTCGATTGTTTTTTTGGAAATCACCACCGCCACCGTTTCGGATGGCAAATAGGAAAATAAGACTCGATGATGATTTTGGTGATACGGTAATTGCGCCTGTTACTTCCCCCCGACCGCCCTATGCATCGCGGGGGGGGGGGGGGGTCTCCGGTTGTTAGGGACTGCGCATTTGACGCATTTACATAACGTGCATTTCAAGGTCATGCTCACAGAATGAGCCTTATACTGAGCCACTTTGGATTAATTTCAGCAGCACATTTTGCTATTCAAAAGGGGTGCCCGCTGATTAATGAAGCAAACCGCTTGCAACGTTGCACAACGCCAGCTATTTATTATTTTGGGTGGGTGGGGGGGGGTGTTACACGGCATAATGGTTTGTAAATTGTATCCGTCAACATCAAAATTCTATGATTCACTACATTTTCTTTTTCCCTGACACAAAAGCAAACAAACAGGCTGCCTGCTTCTGCTGACATTTATGGTTCATGTGCCAACAGTGACATTCTTTGATGAATTAGAGCTGGCATATGTTTGTGTGAGATAATTTAATATAGCATCTTTCCCGGGCTATTCACATAAGCTCTATATCAACGAGGGAGCGTCCCCAAGGTCACATCACGTGGAAAAAGTCACACGGGGAGAAAAGGCAGAGGGGTCATTTGCTGACTATGGCGGGCCGGCGGTGGCTACGCGTGTCTGTAATCTCCAGCACCGTGGAGGCGAGGGTTGGTGGACCGCACAAATGCCATGAAAACTCTCTTTCCCGTTGCCATCAAAGCACTGCACTGTCCTTCTGTATGTGATAGAGTGTTGTTCCCTCGCACGCGTGGGTATTCTCCCGCCGCTCCAGTCCCCCCCCCCCCACAAGTGTAAATACTCATTAGCTGGCTAAAATCACTGTAATATATAGAGAAGACTGCAGAGGTTGGGCAATTGTTGTCACGGGCTCACCACGTGGTTGCCTTCTTACAGCTTGTCTGTGGTTCTTCAGCATCGAGATGTGAAATTTGCATGCCCCAATGCGATATGAAACTAAAAATGATTCCACTGTTACAAAATTGTTACAGACGTTGTCGTGACGCTGTCTTGATCCAAATTAATTTCTGGGGTTAGGCCACGACTTAGTTTAATGCTAAACTTATTGTCTTTAACCCTCCAACACCCGACAAGATTGCCAGGGTTTACAAAATATATTATTTGCACGTGCCCAAGAATTGATTAAATTCTGACTGATAAAGCTCCTTGTCGGTGGCTTAAGACTTTTCATGACTGAATCTGACATCAACATACGAGGGCGTTTGGCTTAAACTGCTTTATCTGGTTTTATAAAGTCCTTAACAAGGATATCATATTTGCCTATCACAAGGACATGCACAGCCAGTTTTGTCAACGCACTGCTGGATAAGGGCCTCCTCACCTCATGCAGGCGAGTGTTGGGGGCTATTTTATCATACTTCAGCACGTTGGTCCGCGAAGGTCGATTTTGTTGTTTCCCTTCAACGTGACTTTACCGAAAGAACTAAGAATATGAATTACTGCAGTCACGAAAGCTTTAAATCAAAATGTAAGTGATAATGAAGGCAATACCAGTGAAGCTGGCACCACGATCTTGAAGACGACGATGATGACGATGACAAAGGTGATAGATAAAAGTGAATTAATCAATCTTCATACCTCGTTGAATATAATGCTTTAGCATTATATCAATTGTCTGTGAAGTAATAAAAGTTTCCCAGAAAACAGTGCACCATAGCAGAATAACGCACAGAATTCTGCCAACATTCTCTATACCCCTGTGAACTATATTTTAAATCTGGATGTTCCAAAAAATTTGGAAGCACAACAAGCTCAGTTTCTTGTGAGAAACGTTGCTGCCCTCTGGCCCTTATCACTTAAATCATGCAAGCCAACGCATTTAACTCAGGAGAAAAAAAAACACGCACACACCAGCGCAACATTGCTGAAGTGGTGCCAGGATTTTTTTTGGCAATTCTGCTCCTGTTAATGTGCTAACGCAGAGGGGGGGTTCTGTTTTTTTCTCCCAAGACACTTTCAGTCCTTTTGATGCAATTAAATTGGAAGGAACGTTCGCAATACGCTTGCTCGACGTTAGCTTTCAATGTGGCCGATCCAACCTCGAGACTGGATTGAAAAAAAACAACAATTTGACCTTTCCCTCTTGACGTGCGCCATGAAGATCACATTCAAGCCACTTGCTCGCGCAAGCCACACTTTAACACTCTTCTGCTTCTCCTTTTGTACGACCGATGGTAGATGCAGAGCAACAACTTGCAATTTCACATTCAGGTTGGTCGAGCCAGATAACCGCGTCAGGAGCGGCGGAGTTGTATCGCTGCGATGTCTGCTTCGTATTCGTGGATCGGAGCATTGCCTCGTTATAAGTTGCGCGGTGTGTTCTGGACGATCACAGTCGTACACTGGAGAGTTTTTATTTATTTATTTCACATTTGCGCATTCAGATATTCGCATCTGCCATGGTTTGTGCAGTGGATGCGGTTTAGGGTGGACCATGAGCTTCGTGGAAGATCAAACCCAGGGATATTTTAACACCGATGTAGAGTCATCAAGGGATACTGCCATGGTGCAGTGGTTAGCAGCACACCACACTCATAATCCAGACGCCACAATGGTGAAAGATTCTTAACCCCCCCCCCCCCTCCTCCCCCGACTGTGTACATCGAACAGCGTGAACGGGTATACCACAGAGTCGATGGGCAGGTCTTGTGCGGTGGGGCAAAGTGTGGGTACTACCAACTCTTCCAAGATGTGGCCAGCATGGAAGAGTAGACCACATTATCCTCTAGAGGGGCTGCTTAAAGCTCCCTCCAGATGAGACCCCTTCTTCCAGAAGTGTCATGGGCAAGCTATTGCAAGCCTGCATCTTTAGCTCTTCGCCTATTCACAATTGTTGCAGAGGTCATATTAGATGTTTTATCCTGCTTTTGTTATTGCTTGTAGAACACCACTCTTCTACAATGTGTTTGCAAACATTCGTGGAACTTAAATTGCGATTCTAGCAGCGATCTACACCGTCCGAAGTCAAACAGATATCCCAGAGTTACTTCTGATGTCAACTTTACAGAACTACTTCTGATGTTGATATCACAATTTCTTCTGCTATCACAAAACGACATCTTCAAGGCGGGACTGGGCCCTTAACCTGTGCACATAAATGGATCTCCATGTATCAATCTGCCAATGTTACACCCTCGGAATTGGGGGTGAAATCATCGGTGAAAAGGCTGAGCTCCACAAGCCAAATACAAAGGATACACCACTTAAATATTGGGGAGTCACATGGGACTCAAAACCCAGGGTTTCAGTGGTGCCAGATCAGCATTGCACTCACTCTGACAAGGTCATTAGCCCTCCCGAGCCAGGCAACCACCTCTAATAGCAATGTGCATTACAGCAAGAAGGAATTCACTGTGGGCATCAACTCCCATGGTTACTTGCACCCAATGGCGTAGCATATTCATCACGGGTCCTGGTGCAAGAAAATTAAATGGCGGTACCCCCTGTCCCTCTTGGTACAACCCGGTTGCCTGGGCCCCCGCGGTGCAGTTGCACCGCCTGCACACACACGACAGCTACGCCACTGCCTACACCCATTCAGGCCTCCACTGTAACTCAAAAGGGAAACGGCATCTTGATTTTGGGAAAAAAAATGTTTTTTTTAAATATGCACTCATGTTAAAGCACGCTATGGTGAAGTATTAACATTAATCTCTCGAACTGTAGTTTTGAAACATCTGCTGCACCCTTGATTACAAACATGCAAAAGAGAGTCCAGAGGCTCCCCCAAGGCACCCACTGTATGAGAGGCCAAAAAACCCCAGAGAATGCAAACAAATGCAAGCCTCCCATAGCTTTCTTGTGACAATGGAAAGCTCGTAATTATTTACACATGGGTCAGGAAATATGCCTTCGGTAAATAATAGATGGCCACCGGTCATGTGGCAGGATTATCTCACTTGTGTGTAAAATGGACTCCCGGGCAGAGTACGGTACACATGTGCACTGAGGCCAGCTGTATCACGACAAACAGGGGTGTGCCTTTAAATGTTGTCTTCACCTCTCCAGCTGGATGCAAGTTATATTGTAATATAAAGCGATTTGTGCGACTATCAACCCCAATAGTCCGTAAAGGTTATCGGGGGTTATGACAGAAATCCAGATTCATACTTTTTTGAGACCGCTTCGAAAAGCTCACCTTGGGCGATTGGTACTTTAACAACAAAAAACACGCACACAGTCGTGTATATTAATGAGAGTAATTTAAGTAATGGCTATGTTTTGCACGACACCGCTGCACGTGTAAGGACGTAAAAAAAGGCACCCGTAAAAACCGTGAGCGCCCGTTTTGTCGGAAAAAAAAGTAGCGACCTGGAAGCCCTTTACGTTTTCAAAATAATAACTTTGTCAAACAAAACATGCCACCGTTGTGAATGTGTGAGAGATACGACTCATTATGTTCACTCAGCTGTTCAGATGATGCATAATTGCCTTATTAAGTATGTATTTCACACTCGAACGGTTATACGGTGTCATGCAATGCGGGGGGGGGGGGGGGGGGGGGGGTGAAGAGTAACTGCAGTCATTATTATTTGTTGCAAAATGGGACTGCTGTTGGGCAGACCGACGATACAAGGCAATGCTGACCAACTCTCAAAACACGTGTTTTTATTCGAGAAGACATGCTCTTTCCCCCCCCCCCCCCCCCCCCGCTGCATATTGTGAACAATGGATAATAACTTACTTCGAATATAAAGAGAATCGACTCCAACTCTTCCCTCTGAGACTTGTGTGCTGAAAAGAAGAAACCACAAACGTGATTAAACACAAATACCGGCACCGGAAGTTACAGCAAAGAGCGTGGTTTCATTTAATGGGAAAGTGAATGCCCGCGATGACTTTAATCGATGCAAAAAATACTATTTGGCTGTGAAAATGGTAATGTTATCATAATTTGTCATTGATCAATAAGAAGCACTGTCAACCATGTTATATCAACCAAAAAATGCATTATCTGGGGTAATTGGATGAGTGGGGGAGGAGGGGGTCACGGGGATAATACAACAACAGATTGTGAAAAAACATTTGCCAATTTGGTTATGAATCCATTTATTTTTCACAAAATGTGCCATGTTTTGATTGCTTTTTACAATAATTGGTTAGAAGCAGCTCGTGTAAATTTGAAGAGTTCAACTGTGAATTCGCTATTTTATCATTTGTATGTCTTTCATTGGAAGTACGGTGAATACACAACCTGGATAATCTGCCCACAGATAAGCAAGCGTTAACGGTAAAAGCTATGTGGATTATTGACAATTACATTGCCGATTGTCAATCATTTATACAGCTACGCAGTTAACTTGAATACCCTCATGCAGTTTACATGGTAATTAATTAAAAGCTTTCCAAATGTACACTTCAAAATCAATTGCTTATACATGACCTTATCCTGAAATATGATACACGAAGCTCATTGCTCAGAGGCCACAATTTATTATTTAGCTTTAATTACTGTTTTAAATTATTGTTTTCTCTTTGCAAATAGAACAGGCAAATTACATTTCAATCGAAGTTTCAATCAGGCATTCTCAACAAATTACCCAACAAAATTACATACTTTTGTTTTCCTTGTCATTAACTATAATCACGGAGGTAAAGGTGCAGCCCTGCAATTGCTGGCTCAAGCCACTCAAGGCAAGAGGCCCTCCACGAGAGGGAGCTCTAGAGAGCACCTCTCGAGGGTATTGGGCCTACTCTTCCATTCTGGCCAGATGCCTTGGAAGAGATGGGAGTACCCACGCTTTGCCCCACCACAATCGACCTTCCGATCGACTGTGATGGTACCTATTTATGGTACGGTGGAGAGACGTCAACTCCCTCGCCTGGTATATAGGAAGTTGTGGGTTCGATCCCGACACGGACACCTGTATATTAGGAGCTTGCGTGTTCTCCCCGTGGTCATGTAGATTTTTCGCCGGGTCCTCCGGATTTTTCCTCCACATTTAGAATCAACGTGCATTTAGAGTATTTGGCTGCTATAGATTTCCGCATGATAAGCCACTTTGTTGCACTATCATTTGTGGCCAAGCCACTTCTGAAAAAGAGCTGTATATCTCAGTGGGCCTTACTTGGTCAAATAAAAAGTGTAATTAGTTAATTGTTTGTAACTTACACTGCTGGATGGACAGTAGCATAGTGGGGGGCGGGTTGAAATTTAAGAAACTCGCCAATGTAACTGCCGCGCCGGGAGATAGAATAGAAGGGGTGACCTCTGGATTGCAAGTCCGGTGCACTAACCGTTACACCACCATGGCAGCATCCATCAAAGAACACGATGCAATACATTTACCGAAGATTAATTCGGTCCCTGCTGTACGCACGCAAGAAGCCTGCTGGGTGAGATCAGATTGTAAGGCTGCTGGTATGCCTGGAATGGGATGGTTTTTGTCCACTAAGAATGTGTACGATAATGACCTTGGCCCGTGCCACTAGAATGCCCCCCTTACCTTTCTGCTTCAGGTTGGCCTCGATGCTGACAAAGTTCTCGAAGAACACAAAGTAGATCTGGGAATAGTTGGTGTCGAAGAACAACTTCAAATCCGCCGTGTCAGTGTTTTCTACAAATAACAAACAGACGAACAAAGAAACCAGTTGGTACAGGGAGTCACAAGTTAAGCATTATATGAAAGAGAATGAAATGCATAAGCACGCAATGTCTCCTCCTTCCCTTATCTGTCACTCCATGTAAAAAAAAAACGTAACATTTTTTTCTACACATCCCATCACCCACACAGCCTTTTGGGAGTGTATAGTTTCAGAAGCATTGGTCCAGCACACGCAAAACTCTGGACACGATTCGACATTCAGGGTCTCATCAGCAGAGTCAGGCTTGCTAAAACAAACGCTGGGCAATTGCCAGATGTTTAAAAGCAAGTGCCCTTTGTCTTTATTAGATACCGGTCCTAGTTGGATGCAAAATCACATAATCAAATAACACAACACATGAAAGGAAATTAATGGGTATGCCAAAGACAAAGTAATGTGTAGGCACTTAAAATTTCCATTACAGATGAATTTCAGTGATGGTAAACACTTATTAAACAGAAAGGAATTGCACCCGAGATTCTGCTGTAACTCTAGCAAGCATTCAGGTTCAACTTTCAATTAATGAAACCTCAAAATATGCCGTTATATCGCTGTATTATGAAGTACACTCTTTTATTAATATTGACTGACATAGCCATATCTCAATACAGTTTCTCCATTTGCTCAGTTGTTGGCAAATTTTAAACCAGTAGCTTAAAAAGAGACATTTTAACAGAAGGTTAATGGCTAAACTAGAAGTCATCACTTAATTTTCAAATACATAAACCAAAATAACCGTTAGCATCTTTGTGGAGACAAGAACGCTTTTACAACAGCGTGCACGATCGCTGTGTGTTATGTCGAACGAGAACCCATAGCTTGCAGAGGGTCCTTGCCTACAACTATCTGGGTCCAGCAAGCGTGATGCTGCTGATTATACTGATCCAAGGTTTGCTGCTGTTGAACCGATGCTCCTGAAATGATTGACCGTCAAAAGGCTGTAGTGGCTGATGGGGTGTGTTAAAAAAAATAAACTTGACATTTTTGTTGGTGGGAGGGCAGATATAAGACTGAAGTGTATTGTCTGTTTATTGATGTAGTTACTAGGTTGTGCAGTAATTAAAACTGGGTAAAGCATACAATAATTAAGGTTTCCATTTTGATGGGGTTACTCGTCACTTACAGGTTTTAATTCACGTTGAGCATTCCCAAATTGGTTTCCTAGGACAGCCCTTACATTAATTTGGAATAACGTTTGCAACAAACCTTCATGACAGTTTCAGTTATGTTTTACCCAAGTCACCATGTTTGCTTTGGACGTGTCCCACGGTTCCCCTTCTGAACTTACATGGCATCTACTACTGTGAGTCGAGTGAACACAACGCGGGACCCACGGTTCACCTTCTGAACTCACATGTCATCTACTACTGAGTCAAGTTAACACAATGGGGGTCCCACAGTTCCCCTTCTGAACTTACATGTCATCTACTACTGTGAGTCGAGTGAACACAACGGGCGAGGTTTGCACATCCTTTTGTGGCTCACTCAGAGCAAATATTTGTGGCTGTACATCTCTAAAATGTGCACCAGGGCTACATTTAGTTGCCAAGCAGATCAACTATCACTCTAAGACGAAACAATCTAAATACAATTTAAAAAGAAGAGATAAACAGCATTCCTTTGTCCCCAAAAAAAAGTTCACACATTCACGGTGAAACCTCCCCGCAATATGGGCACCACAAGTGTTACAGAGGGGAAGGCGTGTGTCACTGTGTGCGTCTATTCAAAATGCGAGAGCACTCAGAAAGGGTAAAGGTCAAGGCGCGGCCCTGTAAAATGTGGCGTTCGAGCCACTGTTTATTTGAACAGTGAGAGACAGAATAACAACAACAAAATCCAGAAAAACGCATGTCAAAAATGTTATAAATTGATTTGTATTTTAATGAGGGAAATAAGTATTTGACTCCCTCTTCATCAGAAAGATTTCTGGCTCCCAGGTGTCTTTTATACAGGTAACGAGCTGAGATTAGGAGCACACTCTTAAAGGGAATGCTCCTAATCTCAGCTTGTTACCTGTATAAAAGACACCTGTCCACAGAAGCAATTAATCAATCAGATTCTAAACTCTCCACCATGGCCAAGACCAAAGAGCTCTCCAAGGATGTCAGGAACAAGATTGTAGACCTACACAAGGCTGCAATGGGCTACAAGACCATTGCCAAGCAGCTTGGTGAGAAGGTGACAACAGTTGGTGCGATTATTCGCAAATGGAAGAAACACAAAAGAACTGTCAATCTCCCTCGGCCTGGGGCTCCATGCAAGATCTCACCTCGTGGAGTTGCAATGATCATGAGAACGGTGAGGAATCAGCCCAGAACTACACGGGAGGATATTGTCAATGATCTCAAGGCAGCTGGGACCATAGTCACCAAAAAAACATTGGTAACACACTACGCCGTGAAGGACTGAAATCCTGCAGCGCCCGCAAGGTCCCCCTGCTCAAGAAAGTACATATACATGCCCGTCTGAAGTTTGCCAATGAACATCTGAATGATTCAGAGGACAACTGGGTGAAAGTGTTGTGGTCAGATGAGACCAAAATGGAGCTCTTTGGCATCAACTCAACTCGCCGTGTTTGGAGGAGGAGGAGGAATGCTGCCTATGGCCCCAAGAACACCATCCCCACTGTCAAACATGGAGGTGGAAACAATTATGCTTTGGGGGTGTTTTTCTGCTAAGGGGACAGGACAAAGGTTTTACCGTTTTAACTGGCACAAAAACTGACACCTTTATTCAAGGCATCATGTTTGCAATAACCACAACACAAGCAGTCAAAATGCAAACAAAAAAGACAACTCTGATAATAATATGCACTGTCCTTGAATTTGATTGGTCCACACCCGAGACGGCTTTCCTTAGAGCCTAGTCTCAATTGGTGCTGGACCAGAAGACGCTAAAAGGTCCAACGCCAATGGAGACTAGGCTCTAAGGAAAGCCGTCTCGGGTGTGGACCAATCAAATTCAAGGACAGTGCATATTATTATCAGAGTTGTCTTTTTTGTTTGCATTTTGACTGCTTGTGTTGCGGTTATTACAAACATGATGCCTTGAATAAAGGTGTCAGTTTTGTGCCAGTTAAAAGGGTAAAACCTATTCCTATATCTTGTTACTGGCAAAGGAGGTCTCATAATGGGACAGGACAACTTCACCGCATCAAAGGGACGATGGACGGGGCCATGTACCGTTAAATCTTGGGTGAGAACCTCCTTCCCTCAGCCAGGGCATTGAAAATGGGTCGTGGATGGGTATTCCAGCATGACAATGACCCAAAACACACGGCCAAGACAACAAAGGAGTAGCTCAGAAAGAAGCACATTAAGGTCCTGGAGTGGCCTCGCCAGTCTCCAGACCTTAATCCAATAGAAAATCTGTGGAGGGAGCTGAATGTTCGAGTTGCCAAACGTCAGCCTCGAAACCTTAATGACTTGGAGAAGATATGCAAAGAGGAGTGGGACAAAATCCCTCCTGAGATGTGTGCAAACCTGGTGGCCAACTACAAGAAACGTCTGAACTCTGTGATTGCCAACAAGGGTTTTGCCACCAAGTACTAAGTCATGTTTTGCAGAGGGGTCAAATACTTATTTCCCTCATTAAAATGCAAATCAATTTATAACATTTTTGACATGCGTTGTTCTGGATTTCTTTGTTGTCATTCTCTCTCACTGTTCAAATAAACCTACCATTAAAATAATCGACTTATCATTTCCTTATCAGTGGGCAAACGTACAAAATCAGCAGGGGATCAAATACTTTTTTTCCTCACTGTACATACAACCGGGGTGGACAGAGGCGGAGGCAATCAGGATGCGAGGCCCCCAATTGCTTCAACTGCAACACCAGAAAATTAATCTGAATCAGCTACCCTTGATTGCAGTCGAACCAACGACCGCTGGATTGCAAACCATTGCAACATGCGGGCGTTCATTATTACATTATTATTCACATTATTAGCATACATGTGACAAAAGTAATACGCGGCTTCTCTTAAGCGTGCAGCTGTAATTAAGATAGCACTAAAGAGTCTGAGTCATTATCTTTCATAGAAAAACTGGATAAGCAATTACTGTATGCCTCTTTGTAGTGACATCTTGTCGGCTCCTCCTTCCAGGCGTGACACCGCCGTGTGCCATCCCAACGATGAGCGAGCCCGATGTGAGTAAAAAGTGGGGCGGAAAAGTCCTCAGTTTGGCACGTACCCTTTTGTGGAGCATTACGTGTGGGTGGACTGGGACAGGCATCGTACCTAAAGCTGTCAGGCAGTCGTTGACGCACGGTGTTTTTGGCGTCAAGTGAAAGTGCGTCAAGTAAACAATTATTTTCAACACTCTACGGCCACAGACATGCGATTACAGGTTTCCCCTTATGCGGTAGATGCAAATATTTACCTCGATTTTTTTATGAATGCAGGTTGCCCTTAGTTGGGTCTTGTTGAGAAAGGATTCATTAATTTTTCACCGTGAGTTTTGTTAATGCTTTCAAACAAAGGCTGAAGGTATTTATGGGTCATCCTTGTCCGTCTGTAATGAGGGGAGAGGGCTCTATAACTTGCGTACAGACTATCCGATATGAACTAAACTCCGGTATAAAGTGTTTTCATTTGCTATTGGGGACTCACCGTATTCAAAACTTGATAAATCAAAGGGTTTCCGCAAAGGTCGGAGACACAATCTACAGCAAATAGAACAATGGCATTTGTAAATAGACAAATGTCAGTTTCCGTCCTGCTAATTAAACGCTCTAGATGACAAACGTGTTTTAGAAAGCGTTACAGAATATACACGCGTGCGGCATAATTTTTTTTTACAAATTATGATAAACATTAGTAAAACTACAAGGTCAGGCACAACGAGCCTTTTAGGGATCTGGGGCCCACATTGGCCCTGCATGACTGTGGGGAATTTTCGGATGATGGCCTCCGTGCGATTGCTGTCGTCCATACATCTCACTTGTTAAATAAAAGGCTGCTTTGCCC